ATTGCATGACTCAATCTCCAAAAGTACAGGGTGTACCGAAAGTTCCATCACTCGAGTTTTGAAAATTATTTCCTGACATTCTGAAAAACTGATAAAAGAGAGTTAAGCGTATGAGTTATATCATCGTTAAAATAAAATCTTGAAATCGTGTTCAGCAGAGCCACAAAAACTCTAGCACATTTTCTTAAAAATTTATACTCCCTTGATAAGTTGTAATGTATGTTAAGCGTTTTTAGAATCTATACTCAAATTACATTACATTTAACACTTAACCAGTGGCAAATATATTAAGTTTGATGAATTCTTTTTAAACTGCAGAAACCTAATATTGCATTTTCTAACATATCAAGATATTCCTAGTGTTAAAACATATTACATCTTTAGCATGATATAGACAAATTCTCTCTCTCTCTTAACTTCATCTAGTGGTCCTTAAACAAATTATTTTTTAAAAATTTGAAATATCAAATTTTTTAAAACTATGCATGTTTAATTTGGAGTTTTGCGGCTGTATTCTGCAAGATGATTGTGATCCGTTTAGGCGATATGTGCTAGTAAAGTTTCAGCTGTGTCGTGTAATTAGTTTCGTACGTTTTATTTTGTAGTTAAGTGCAAATATCTAAGGATTTATATGGGGTTTTCAATTTTTTTCATTTTATTTCTCTGTAAAACACATACATCTACAGATTCGGTTTGTGTAGATTTGACACAATCTACACAAACTGAAGCCACACACAGTTCTCTAAACTGACAAACATTGCTTAACGTCCTAGAAATTTAACAAACTGCTTCCGCTGTTTGCCTAGCTTCAGTTAATTTTTCTTTCTGCTCAACAGAATATATCTTAAAACAGGAAAATCAGTCAGCACACAGGGAAAGAACTGCCATGGTAAGTGTTAATCTCTATTAAATCTAAGATTTTTATGTTTATGTATTGTAAGTTATAAAATACAATTGCTTATAAATTTCTCTGCCAATTTACTTAAAATTCTTGGTTTTTTGTATTAAAAAATGTGAAAAATTTACTTGAATTCTACTTAACTCTCAACTGATTGCTTCTAATGGGTTATAACTACATTCCCAAATTTTTAATAGAGGTTAACATAGATCTATTAAATAGAAACTTACCTACAGTTAAAATATTCTTGACAGTAACATTCTACTAGTGTTACAATCAGGTCCTTGCATTTGTAACTGGATGATAATCTGGAAACATTTCAGTAATAGTCTGTAGAAACATCACTTCTGTATTCGACTAAAAGAACTGGAAACTCTCGGATAAATTACAGACGAAATCTCAAATAATTTAAGTAAAACAATTCAATTTTCTTCTTCAATAATTTGGTAAGTGACTCATCGACAAAAACTTATCTGTGGAAATATACATCCTCAACATCATACAAATTAATTAAGAAATAGAGAGAAATTTAAATTAAGACATAAATTTTCAAATTTTCATAAAAATTAAAAGTAAAACAAATATAAGAATAGTAAACAAAGGACAAACAATTACAAACTTAAAATTGATTTAAATTCATAAAAAAATTAACAAGAAATTAAAAGTTAATGAAAAATCTTTAATAAGAGATGTTTTAAATCAAATATTTGAACAAGATTTGGCTTTTGAGCAGATAAATTAAATTTCTTTCTAGAACTTTATAAAATCTAGTTTACATTATGCAATTTACATGAAATATTTGTCATCAAACCACAATAATTTTGTAAGCATGATATCAATTTTAAAACTTTGATTAAAAGTAACTTCCCCTCTAAATTCTCTCCAGTCTGTACACATTGAGAGAGAACTTTTTGCATCCACCTAAAGTTCGGTAAGTCGACAACTGCAAAGCCAGCTAAGGTTCTGCAAAACATGAACTCGGATCCCGGAAGTGAATTGTGTTGGTCGGATGGCCAAAGTGACCGGCCAATGCAATTTCTATTTGTCGAGCAAGAAGTTTTATGAACAAAACTAATCTGACAAATATAAATATTTTAGATTAGCATTCATCAAAAATTTATTCGTTTGAAATGCATTAATTAATATCAAATGGTTTGTTTACTGTCTGGAATGCTTCCGTAAAAAAATAAAAATTCATTTGTTCTCTGTCATTACATTCAGACGGGACGTCCACTCGGTATCAACTTACTGCTATACTAGGTATGCTATACTGCTGTATGCTAGGTATGCTATTCTGCTGTATCTTATACCACGAGGGATATAAGATCTATAAATCTTAGTAGTTTATTATGGACGATTTGAATAGTCATTTCTGTCAACCAAACTTCTTGCCAGTCAAACCCACTTGAAATAGTTTAATAAATAATGAAAACTAAACACAGTTTAGACTGTAGTTTGTTGTTGTGACATATGTACTATGAACTATGATACAAACAACATTGTTATGCAATGAAATCATGAAATAAACAACTCATCAAATACATAGTATAAACTAGATTTTAGTTAAAAATTATGTGTATAAATATTAAAGCAAACACACAATATCAAATATACTCAGCATGTACGGTACACATGCCTATGCTCATACACATAAACATACAATTAAAATCATTACACAGACATACATTCCATGCATTTCTGGTTTTACCTGGATATACTCCCTTACAGAATCTTTAACTTTGGTACCTGATTAGTATTAATTACAACTCTGCCAAACCTGTCATTTCTTCTCTTTTCCGAATACTCCATTTTACAACTCCCTTTTCCTCCCAAAAACTGTAAGTGTGAATCCTCTGAGTAGAAGAGGCAGTTTTAAACTTTCTGACGGGTGGAGATGAGTGACAATCTGCACTTACCATCTTCTATTCTCAGTATCATATTAATGAGACTAGACAGTTTGGGTTACTAAATAATAATAGAAATTCATTTCTGTTATGAAATATAGAAATGAATTTCTATTAATTTTCTATTACCAATTGATAAGATTACTGAAAGTTACCGAAGTATTCACTTCGGTAACCTTATCAATTGATTCTCATACTTATTATGGAATATACAATTTTCTTCATTTTTATTATATACACAATAGAGAAGAAAACCCAATTGAAGTTAAATAAATTTTATTTTTATATTATTATTATATATGTTTATTACTTTAAAAAATAATAATTAACCTATTTCCTACCAATCTCCTCAGTAATATAACTAATGTTTCTGATCACCATTAGTGATTAAATTACGTATCGTTCTACTCTGTTACCTTTAAACATCAATTTGAACCATTCAAATTTTTGAAAAATATAACTTTCTCAGCAACCTTCTATAAATGGCTGAGAAATTAAGGCATCAGACTACTACTACGAGGACTATAAATGAATCCAGACAAGTTGAAAAAAGCCAGGAGATGACCTGTCCCAGATATTCCAGGCCCCATTTCTCATTGTGGGTTTGGTTAAAGGCAATCTTAGTGCCCAGTATGAAAAAAGAATAATAATTAAGTTTACAATGCAAAGAAATTTATGTTTTGCATATGATTTATTATTTTTTTATGCTATTTATTCATATATTTTTCAAATTGTTTAAAATATTTTTTACATTTGAATTGATGTTTAAAGATAAATGAATAGAATAATTTGTAACCTGATAATGGTCACTAAAGCTGATCGGAAATGTTAATCCATTTACTAAGAATTATTATTGCTAGAGAATTATTCATTATTATTATAAAAATTTTCATTAGGTTAACATTGATGAAAATTCAACGCAAAGTGACATGCAACAGAGAAAAATTTAAACATGGGATATATTAATATACTATGTTAATTAATAATGTATTTTTTCATACATAATCGGTTATCTGAAAAATCAATTTTCCAAACAACCCCAGTCCCCAATTGATTCAGACACTCTACTGTAATTTAGAACATGTAAGACTGCTTTGTTACTTTTAATGTAATAAATTATCTTAATATGGTAATTTAAAAATATTTATTCATTTATAAATCAGTATACTAAAATAGCACTCTTAAAATCTAATTCAGCTATTATGATTTCAAAGAGAACACACTAAAAGTTAAAGATACACTAGCAGTTTTCAATGGCAATGAAAAATGTTTCTGTAGCATTTTCATTTTAAAATCATATACAACGATGAAAATCTATTTAAAAACTAGCATTTAGAAGTAATATTCAATTATATTAGTCTTAATATCATATGCCTAAATCCCCTTCTTGGCTAATTTCGTTAAATGTTGCAACAATATTTCGGTAAGTGCATGGTTCCACGCACACAAAACAAAAGAGAAAGAAATTATTGATCGACCTTTCTTAGATCTGAATTTGAATATAAATAACTCTTTCTTTATTGAAAACTGCTAGCATGATGTTAGCCTAATGGCAAGGTTTATCTGAAAGTAAAAACTGCATTAAAAATAAAATCTTTATATAGCTACTCCATGATTTGTGTAAGGCTGGATTTCTGTGCAACTTTAAATCAAATTTTACACAAGTTAAAATTTTCTTACACAATTACAACTACGAGTTCTAACACAAAATTATTATTATTTATCCAATTTATTTTATCCTATGTGCAGATAAAATTTTGTAAATTTTCACGCATGTAAGATAATATGAGAGTAGTCTTTGAAATATATAAAAAGAAGATTATGAAGTGCCATTACAAACATCTTATAATGGAAAAATTAATATGAAAAGTGTAAAATAGATGGCATAATGGTATTGTTAGTGTATTGATTAAAGCACAGGAAGTATAAAACTAAATGATAAATGGTCTTTTTTTTTGTTTCTTAAGTTTGCAATATCCAACAAAGTTTTACACAAGTTAGGGATAGCTGTATTGTCATCTGCAAATAATATTCAAATTAAAAACATTAAAATTAAACTTAAATTAATATATTAAAATAAGTTGTTGATACGATTCGGCCAACTCTTTAAACAACAATTTTTTTTTGTTTTGATGTATTTTTTTTATTTTGATAATATTTATTAAATTCGATGTGCTTAAACTTATTTTCATTTTGTTATTTTACTTTTTTTTGCTGTCATTTAAATTTTTTTTATTATTATTCTTTCATATAAATTGCTTTTTTTATTTTACTTTGTTTTCTTTACTCTTTTCTTTTTTTATTTTTCTTTTCTTTTTTTTTAATAGATTTGCTTCTATCGAAAAGCATTAAGTGTCATAATTGTATTTTATCGGAGGAGAATGCATTACATTCGTAACGATACTTTCATTATTATATTAACGCTAAATTTACACAAACTGTAGATTTTTACACTGTTCATTGAAAATTTCTCATTCAATTTTAGGAGAACTTATCCATAAACATTCTTACAATCATTTCGGTGAATTATCGAAATTACATTTTCAAAATATAAATCTAATATACTACTTTCAAAGTAATTTATCATCAGAAATTTTTCCGAGTGTGATTAAATATCATATGCTTCCTTTTAACAATGAGAAAAGTAACATTACAATTGTTAGAATATCATTGTATTTTTTTTGTCAATTATATGAAAGATGAATAATGTATGACAACAATGGTTCACCAAAATACATAGATTCCATTAGTGAAAATCATCAGTGAGAAGTCACTTTAAGTCACTCCATATTACTGTATTTATGATAACATATATCTTAAGACACCTTATGATACAGTACAATGAAAATTTTTCACAAAATTATACAGCTCAATCAATGGTGCTCTAAAATAGTAAGACATTTGTATGGCAGCATTAGTTTAACTACTATAGCAAAATGTACCATATAAAACTTTTAAAACAAATAAAGATGAGGAAAAAAAATCAAACTAAATTTATTGTTTCATTCTGTACAATTAGGTAGATGACCAGTTTTCAACTTGACTTTGTTGCTCGAACAGTTTAATCCGGGTCATCGTCTCCACGATCTCGCCTCGCTGTCTTCTTCTTCTTCGTCATCTCCCAACAGCAGATCCTCTTCTCCTTCATCTAACAAAGACTGCTGATTCTACAAAATATCACATTTTTTATGGTAAAAAATATATTTGTTAAAAATTTTAAATAATTGTATATTTCAAATATTAATATGTTCAACTGAAACAGAATCTTTTATTTAACTATTAAATCAAAATAATTTTTTTTAATATTAAGAATTTGTCTTACAAGTGCCTAACCCAACCTAATAAATGCTTCTTAGTACCTGAAGAGCAGAAAGAGTTTAAATAAGAAAAAGAGGAGAATAAATTTGCATTAATCAAATAAAGGTTTATAAACAAATGTTTTCTTCTATCTAAATATACAAAAAAATTCTAATAATAATTTTTTAAAATATACGCATAATTTAAATTATTTCTTATGTAATCTTCATCTAAATATACAGAAAAACTGAAGTTTTGGAGTGTTTTAAATTTAGTTTTAAAGGATTTTTATTTTGTTGAATGAGACATTCTTAGCATCTTTTTTGATTTTTTGATTATCACTTTTCTCACTCCCATCACACCAGAAATGCTGAAAGAAACTTAAAATATCAATGTCTAAAAATGTGCCAAAAAGACTAATATGACTGTCTTCGTTTCAACAGATAACTACAAAAAAGGAAAAACTATTGACTATGAAGAAACTAATTGATAAATTTTTCTATGTTGAAAAGATGAAAAAATTGAAATGTTGGTTTTAACATTTTTATAATTTTACATATAATAAACAATGTATAACATGAATGACTAAGTCAAATCATCATCAGCTACCATGTTTACTTAAAGATTGTTACTTGTATACAAAAAAGTATATAAATTTATCAGTATTTTCTGAGATCTCTAGCAAAGTGAAAAGTGAAACTTTGTTAGAGATCCCAGAAAATATTGAAATATTCTTCATAAGCCACAAAGATTATATTTAATTTTATCTACTATCCAACGTTGGTGGTTTATCACTTTTAGTACTTATGAGCAACTTTTTCAAAATTTGAAATAATTTACAAACATACCATTATAAAAATCATAATGAGCATATTTAATACATTCTATAATATTCTAATCTTCCTTAGTAGAAAAAATATTAGGTATTAAGTTAATAATGGCACTCTTTATTTGCAATCCAGATTATGGAATAGATATCAAAAACTCATTCACTAGTAACTCAATAATGAAACAACTAAACTAAAGAAAACTATTTTAAGCAAAAATAATAAAGAATATACAAAAATACTGCAAGTCCTCACTTCACATAATTCTGTTATAATATTGCTGATGAAAATTATAAGTACATTTGTAATCATTTACAATTATTGTTGTGGAATTTTCTTTATAAACAGTAAAAATGATTCTATGAGGTGGAAAATAAATGCTGGTGGTTGCAAACACAATCCAATTAAAATAATATTAATCAAATCCATTTTTTTAAAATATGATTAATGTAATTTGTATTCATTATACTTTCATCTTTTACCAAATTATGTGAACCTATACTCACATTAACAATACTTAAGACATCATTTAATGTCAAAGAAGACAAATTTGCTGTTTGCAATCACCATTTTAAATTTATGAAGCACTCTACAGTTCTAATCTCCTACTGTTTGTAAATTGTAAGGACCATTGCCTACTGCTTGGTAGTAAGCAATGGTCCTTACAATTTTCTCTTTGCAAACCCATGCAAATTTGCCCATCTCCAGTAATGAGGAGTTAGCATTTTTCTCCATATCACCAACCACCACTGCAACCACCATAATCTGCTGATTTCCAACATTGTGTAAATATTTATCTTACTTGTTTTCATTAATTTTTCTTAAATATGGTATATATACCTGACATTTCTTTCAATTTTTCACATTATGAGAGTTTTAGATCTTTACTTATCAGGTTGTATAGTTGAAATTTTGACATTTCAAATTTTCCAGAAACATCTGAAAAAAATATCCTAGAATATTTGATGTGAGTATATAAGTAGCATAACCAAAGATTGTTTCATTACATATTTCATTGGAAATAGATATATCAGCAATGTCTGACAATGTGAAACTTTCAAAAGAACATGTTTTATGCTGTCACTCTATCACTTCAAAAGTGGCCACAATACAATAAAGGCTCATGATCTCATCTGCAAAGCATTTGTTAAATCTGTCATGGGTGTACAAAGGTCAACGAGCAATTGCAAATGTTAAAGGGCCAATAGTGCAGAAGGTGACAATGATCTGCATTTTTTGACATTGTCACAATGGAGCTGCTTCCAACCAACATCACTGTTACAAAAGAATTCTACTGTGAACAACTGGATCATTCAAATACCAAGATCAAAGATCATCATCCAAAAATTGAAGAGTCAAATACTGCCACAGCATCATACCAGCAACAAAGAACAAAGATAACCTTAGAAATGTAGGCCGGTCTGGGCTGGGTTCTGCCTCATCAACCTTAAAGCCCAGACTTGGCACCAACTGACTACCATCTGTTTTGTGCTCTACATACCATACTGCCAATATACAGTTCAGTGACAATACTTGGTACTTAAGACCTTCTTCAGAGAAACCCTCCAGTTATTCTATTCCACAAAACTAAAAGGTTGGAGCAAAGGAGACAAGATGTGGTTGATATTGATGTGATTACCTACAAGTAGGGTTTCTCATTTCCTGGTGTTTTGCTTGTCCCAGGATTTCGGGAAAAAAGTGAACTGTTTCCCCAGATCCCAGGAAATCCCGGGATAGAATTAATTATTTTTAAGATATACAGTCAACCCCCCTATAACACTTATTAATATGTAAACATAACCCCTATAACACTGTTGATAATTCCTTTTATATGAATTCCATGTTGTACGAGTCACTTAGATGTTACAAATACAAGGTCTGTTCAAAAAGTATCGGACCTTATTTTTTTCCGCGTAAACCAATGATGCGAGAGAGGCCTCCTTCGGTGGAGTTGTGGAGGGGAGACCTTATTTTTTTCCGCGTAAACCAATGATGCGAGAGAGGCCTCCTTCGGTGGAGTTGTGGAGGGGACAGTCATGCACAGCCCTAAATTTTTTCCCGCCTGCAGAAAGCATCAGTCGTTGGCAATTGGTCTATGAGTGAGAGAAAAAGGACATAAGAAGGAAAAGAAGAAAAATAGTAAGGACTATTGAGAAAAATGAAAAAGAACAAATCAAAAAAGAATATAATAAGGCCCTAAAGAAGTACAAAAGGGAAATCAACAGACAAAGGAACTTAGCATGGAAAAAATTTTGCGGACAAATTAGTAAAAAAGACCCATGGTCGATTCCATATAATATAGTTTTCAAAAGAAGGAATAAAACTCATATTCCGGATTTATTGGTTAATGATATCAGCATAACAGAAAATATTCATGAAATTCTGGAATTTCACTTTCCAGACGATGATAAAACAAGAGACTTACAATATCACAAGGAAATAAGGGAACAAGCGACGCAAAACTCATCCAACGAAATGGATAGACCTTTCACTTTTAGAGAAGTACAGAGGGCTATACATACATTGGCTAACAAGAAGATGCCAGGGATCGACCAAATCACGGCGGAAACAATCAAACAAATCTATAATCATATTCCAATTGCGTTGGTCCACCTTTATAATGAATGCTTAAGATTGGAGCACTTCCCTACAGCTTGGAAGCATGCTAATATTAAGTTTATACCTAAAATTGATAATCCTATTGAACCAAAGCATTACCGTCCCATAAGTCTTTTGCCGGTGCTCGGCAAAGTATTGGATGGATTGTTAATCAACAGAGTTAACTGGCACCAGTTTAAGAATAATCAAATGAATAATAGACAGTTCGGCTTTAAAAAAGGAAAATCAACGATAGACGCAGCACTGAAAGTTAAAGAGTTCGTGGTATCGGCATGGAAGAAAGACCAGCACGCTCTTCTCATTAAAATAGACTTTAAAAAAGCGTTTGATAATTTGTGGTGGCCAGGAATACTTACTAGACTAAACGAGATTAAATGTCCACGAAATATTAAAAACATTATACAACATTACTTGGAAGACAGAGAAGTGGGCTACCACACGAATACTTTGGAAGTGATAAAGAAAGTGAACAGAGGATGCCCGCAGGGCTCGAGGAGCGGACCGGGATTATGGAATCTCGCTTTCGATGGCCTGCTTAACAATATCCCGGAAAAGGAAGATATTAGATTACAAGCTTTTGCGGATGACGTAATATTAATGGTCGCAAATAAGAATTGTAACCGATTGAGGGATGAGGCAAATGAAGTCCTCAATACTATTAACAACTGGAGTATAAAAAATTATCAACCAATTAATCACGAAAAATGTGAAACTGTGGTTTGTACAAGAAGAAATAAAAGAGATCATTTAAAAAAAGCAGTTGGAATAAAAATAAATGGAAAGAGCATTAAAAATGTACAGCAAATGAAATACCTTGGTATTGTTTTCGACAGAAGCTTAAATTGGAAAACTCACATTCTCGAAGCATATAAGAAAGTCATGGAGAGAGTGAACCTTATTCATCATTTAAGCCGCAACACATGGGGGATGAACGAAAAAAATACAAAAATGATATATAAAAGTGCTATAGAACCGGCAATCTTATATGGGGTTCAAGTCTGGGGTGAAGCGGTTGGAAAGGTGCACAATAGGAGGAAACTTTTATCTGTTCAGAGAGGAGCAGCTATAAGAATTTGCAAATCGTACAGAACGGCGCCCACGGACGCATTGCTCGTGCTAGCAAATCTAAAACCTATACATTGGGTTGCGACAGACATTATGTGGGAAAACAATCTGAAAGAAAAATATTTAAATACTAAATCAAACAAAGACATAGAAACTGACATCAAGAATGGTTTTCTCCCTAACAACATACAGTTAATTGAAAAAATCAAAGAAAATGGTACTGAAGAAATAGACAAAACAACAACTATTATGGACCCTGCAGAAACAGATACATATATGGTAGAAATAGAACATCAGGAGAACCACAGGAAAAAAGACCACATAAAAATTTATACTGATGGCTCGCGTACTGAAGAAGGAGTTGGATGTGGCATAATAATTTTAGATAAAAATGATAAAACTAGCTATCAGGCATCAATCAAAATGGCAGAATACTGCACTACTATGCAGTCAGAGATGTTTGCCATATACAAAGCGCTTAAATTCATAAACGAAAACAAGAAATATAAGGATGACCAAATAAAAATCTTCACAGATAGCAGAGCAACACTGCAAATCATTAAAAATAAACTTAAAAAAGATAAACTATCTAACGATTTAATCAATTTATCGGAAATTATTCATAAAAAACATAAGCTTACTTTTCAATGGATACCAGGACATAGAGGTTTTGAATACAATGAAAAAGCAGACAAATTGGCAAAAAGAGCCACTAATCACGACTCAAATGTTATTTACCAAAAAATACCTATTAAAGGACTGCAAAATACTATAAGGAATATAACTAACGACCTATGGCAGAGGGAATGGACTTCCTCCAATACGGGAAGACATTGTTATGGTTTCTTTCCCTCAATACTAGAAAGGAAAGCCAACAAACATTTCAGAACTTCTTTTGGAATCACACAGTGCTTAACAGCTCATGGGAATTTTAAAAGTTACCTCTATAGATTTCATAAAACAGACAATAAAAACTGTGATATTGATAAACAACAAGAAGATAATGTTTACCATTTCTTGTACGACTGCTCAAAATATATGGTAGAAAGAGAAAAATTCCTTCATAGCTGTCTGAAAGCAGGGTATAACTGGCCTCCAAAAGATAGTGAATTAGTTAAAGATAAATCACTCTTTGAAGCTATGGAAAATTATATTATGAAGACTAAAACCCTGGTTACAATTTCAAAGCACTATAGGATGGCAGAAAGTGTACACAATGATGAAGAAGAAGATAATGACATAACAGATTTTTCACAACATAGTGATGAAGACGATAGCTTCAGTGAGTAAACAAGACTTTTGTGTGCTCATTGGAGAGATGGCATGTTTTTTTTTCATACTATTCATCTTGTCATTCACCATGTAAATATTGTAATTAACATTTTATTTAATTTTACTTAATTTCTTTTGTAAAGGTGTTTTTGACCTGTCGAGCTGACAGGACAGTTGCTTTTGCGTGAACACCTCAAATTTTTTCTGGAATGAATAGGATATGGAAACCTAATGTCGGGACCTTGAATTGTACTTTTGATACTGCTGTATCTGTCTTGTAACTTTTTGTTTTGTTTTAATAAACGCCGATGAGAGGCGCTCTCTGGGTCCCATGCCTTCTTTCAAACTTTCCTATCTTCCTTTCTTTTCACACTTCACATCTCATGCTTTCTCTTCTTTCCTACTTCTACAGGGTTAAGTCCGTCGCTTAAAAGACGGACAGCTCTCTTCTATTCTTTTAAACATGGGCCTATGAGTGAGGTCATGTAGTGCGCTCTCGTCGGATTCCACTAAGCTGGAAAATGACTGAACAACGTGAGCAGCGATATTACATCAAATTTTGCCAAAAACCTTGGCGATACCCAAGCGTAAACCATTCGCAAGATTCAGCAGGCTTTCGGGGACGATCCTCGAGGCCAAAAAAAGCGCGGCAGGTCCGCAGCAATATCAAAGGTCATGTTGACAGTTTTTTCGACTCTCGTGGGGTGGTGTGTCGTGAGTACGCACCACAAGGCCAAACCATCGCAAAGGAGTACTACCAGGAGGTCCTTCGTCGTCTTTCCGATACAGTGCGACGCAAACGACCGGATCTGTGGTCGATCAAAACTTGGCAGCTCCATCGTGATAACGCATCCGCCCATTCTGCGCATCTGATTCGGGCTTTCGTCGCCAAACACAATACTCCTGTGGTTCGTCACGCTCCGTACTCTCTCCACATGGCTCCGTGTGACCTTTGGCTATTTCTCAAGCTGAAAATGCCGCTAAAAGGAACCCAAATTTAGTCGAGAGAAAACATCATGCGAAATGCGACGGACCGGCTGATAACCATTCCAAAAGATGCGTTCCAGCAGTGTTTCCAGCAATGGCAGGAACGCTGGGAGAAGTGTATACATTACCAAGGAGACTACTTTGAAGGAGATTAGGGTTTTGTACCTCAAAGTCAATAAATTTATTTTTGCCGACCAAAGGTCCGATACTTTTTGAACAGACCTTGTACATGTGCTGGGCTGTGAACGGCTCACATATTTGTAAAATCTAAGTGACTCGTACAACATGGTATCCATATAAAACGGAATTATCAACAGTGTTATAGGGGGATTGACTGTACAAAATATCAGGATACAAATACAAAACAGGATTTTGTGTGTGTGTGTGTGTGTGTTCAAAATCGAGCTCCTCGATTTCTCGTGATTTCGATAGGTTAATCTGTTTCTAGTCCAGTTTTTTGTGGTCATCTGGATAGAACTTGTGATTGTGACTTTTCTGATACCAAATTTGATAATATGGACCCAATATTTTTGGAAATATGAAAACATAAAGTTCACGTTTTTTCGGACCGATTTTTCGTAATCTCTACGACCGTTTTTCCGGAATTGTGAACGGTGGAGGACAATACATCGAACGGTGAGTTAGATCTCCAATTTTTGTGCATTTGGTCCACCCGTTTTTCAGTTTTTGGATTTTTTCGTTTGACATTCGGCCTCATTTCGTTTGAACCGAAACGACCTCTTATTAAGATCGTTTCGGTTCCTAAGTCTATCACTAAAGATGATCTTGAAAAACACATTTGTGAACAAAATTATTTGGCGCTATGTGTTGAAAAAGATGAATTTCCAGATCATGTTAGAGTTAAATATGCATTAAAACAAAAAAACAGTGAATATCTTTCATGGATCATTGAGGTCACTCCAAGTATCAGAGAACGATTACTTAGGGAGGGAAAGATGTACATCAAGTGGAGTAGTTGTCCGGTGTTTGAATACATTCCAGTTAGACAGTGCTTCAAGTGTCTAGCTTTCGGACATTTTGCAAAGGAATGCCCGTCCCCAAAACGTGTCTGCAGTCATTGCCAAGGTGATCACTTGTTTAAGGACTGTATAGATTCAGTATCTTTACCACGTTGCACCAATTGTGTAAAAGAAAAACGTGAACAATTCCATCACAACGCTATGGACAAAGAATGCCCTAGTTATATAAGAGTTAAAAACCAATATTTACAGAAAGTCACATGTAAGGACTAATCTATGTATACTGTTTTTTCTGAACATACAGATCTATTTTGTATTTTACTCTTGTTAACGAGTCTAGCTTTCATGTTAGGCTTCTGCCAATTGGTACAGTATATAATGAGCTTTGTTTATAACTAATGCAGTATTCTAAAGTATTGCGTTATACTGTACATTCTGGTCTCTTCTCACGTACCTCATGTTTGTTTTGTATCGTATTGTCTATTTTTATGTATTTGATTTCATTGTGTTTCGGGAAATACTGTAATTTTCTCTTGTATCCCATTAACTGTGTCATCAGGTAATGCCAAACGCGGGGCCTGGTCTTGTACTTATTTTTGGTACAATAAAACATAATGAATGAATGAATGAATGAATGTACAAAATATCTTCAAACCAAATGATATAATTATTTTTCATTTTTTAAAGTAATTTAATACATTCTGCAACCTCCAAAATCATATTAACAATGCTGTGTAAGATATATATAAAAAATTACGTTTGAATTACGTAGAAATTTTCACAAATAGAAAAAATTTATTAAGGTTTGCAACCTCCAAAATCATATTAACAATGCTGTGTAAGATATATATTAAAAATTACCTTTGAAAACAACAACAACAACAACAACAAAATGCTTTGAATTGAATTGAAATTTAAAAAAAAATGAACTTAGATCAAACTTCTAACTTAAAAAGGTAATTTTCATTTTTTAAATAAAACATAATACAAAATATTATTGTAAATTTTTATAATAAGATTTTAAAAAGCAAAGATGGTCAATACTCCAATCACTCAATCTAATTCTTATTTTAGTAATGAAAAGTCCTGCTACTGAGAATGCCCTTTCTGATTCAATTGATGTGAATGGAATCGTGTTTAATGCATTTAAGAGAAGACAGATGTTATGTAGCCTGGAAGATTTCTAGTTTGTTTTCGAAATTGTAGTACTTCTTTTGCTCTCTAATATTCTTCATTTGTCTACTTCGGCTGCTTTAATAGAAACATCAAGCTTATAGCCTGATAATTTGGCAGTTTGTTTGTCTTTAATAATCAGGTTTATGAAGAAAAACTTTATACTCGCAGATTTTATACTCGTTTGTATCCTTGCCCAATTTGACAACCAGACATTATGCAGTTATTGAAGCTACTGGGCATGGTTAAAAATTAAGACAGCATAAGCACAATTATTCCAGATATTACAGGTTCTGACAAGTAAAGAATTTTCAGAGTCCTACCACAAATAAACTACATATTGATTATTGACCATTTATGACATAATGAGTAAAAATTATAAAAAAACTAATAAGAAGGTTTAAAATTAATAAATACAAATGTATTCTGACAGTTTATGAGTTAATTATACTTTCTATTTGCAAATTTCCTCAACCTTAATACAAAATAAGAAAAAAGTGAACTTTTAAGAAATTTGCAGGATTTCCTGGGATGAGAAGAATTTCCCGGGTTAAAAAAACAACCAGGATCTCGCTTGAGAAACCCTACCTACAAGACTAAACTATAATCATTATAATCATTGAGTTAACTGTCAATAAAGTTTTTTCAAAATGCCTACATTTCACCTTTAAACCCAATAGAAGTTTGGTTATATTTTTGTAACCAGAAATATGCCATAGGAACTTAATTCTTATTTATATTACATGACCTATGGTAAAACTGATCACATTATACATCATTTTGCTTAATGTCACAATTTCCAAGAATTTACTAGTAACATTAAAGAAAACTTGCTATAATCATTTAAGGAAATTTGTCTCAAAATAGCAATCAAGCATAAAGAATAATAAGTTTATATATACTTACATCATCATCAACAGCTAAATCATCATCAAGACCCTCTAATTCAGAGGTTGCATTGCTAGGATTGGCTGACAATTCCTTGTACCATGCAAAAGTTAATACTCTGTCATTGAACTTTGATCCATGAGAAATAGCCTGTAATATTAAAAAAGTAGTACACATTATTTAATTTATGCACTTAAAATAGATTTATAATTACAAATAATCAAGAAACAGATCTTTTCAAAAAAACGGTAAATAAGAAACTGTTTTAGTTGAGTTCAACATAAATAACTTTAAATAAAGAAATATTAATTAAAGTAAAAAATAAACTATGTTTTACATTAATAACATCCCAAATGCTTTCAAGTCCACCTTCACTTTTGTGAAAGATTTTTCTTGATCATGATTCTGTAGACTCAAAAACATTTGAAATATTGATAATAATAAAGTAAGCTCTTATAAAACAGTTTTTTGTTTACATAAATTTCATAAAAAATAATAAAGAGGTAAGTTAAAATGTTAGATATTTCTAGTTACCTTATCAAAAAGGTTTTACTTGTTAATTCCTTTTTAACTATTACAATGTTTATATAAATTCTAAATTTATCTATTACTTCTGTTTTTTAAACACAGATGTATATACAAGTACAACACATTATAACATAAAATTTTGCATTTGAATTATTGCTTAGTGGTAGATAAAAGCAAAAAAAGTTACTATTTGCCAGTACTAATATCATAGAAATTTATTTAATTCAAAAATTGGTACATCTTTTGTTAACAAAAGTTAAGAATTTCAAAATGAAAATATGTTTTTGTTTCTAAATTAAAATCACATTGTTATTTTCAAATAAAAAAATTGTAATTTTTACTATTGTTTTTAAATTTTTTAAAATTAACGTCACTATTCTTTAAAATTCTTGAATGATTTCTTTTATTAATCAAGAAAATATTCAACTAGGTTTTCTTTAGAAGTCTCTCAAATTAAAAAAAAATGTTTTGGAATTATTTTATACTTTCATTCTTTTAACAAAAAATAAAAAACAGGAATTCATAGCAGCTTCAAGTATATACATGAGCATTCTGTAATTTTGGATTAACCATGTTTCCTCAATCTAATTCTTATTTTAGTGCATTTAAGAGAACACACTGCTATTTGGACTTTTCTGGTCTTAAAAATTGGGCACAAAGTTGATTTAATGTAGTCTTGTTTGCTTTTCTCTCTACTTCACAATTCACATATTATGTCATTGTATAGCCATGGCATATATCATCTTTCGGAATGCAGAATGAAGAAAACTGTAAGGTAAGCCAAGGAAAGATGCTATAGCTAAAGAATACAATGTAATATACAAGAATCTACCCATCATTAAACTTAAAAAAATCTTGCAGGATAATTGTGAGACATTCACTTAACTATGCTTCAGAAAACACCAGATCTTTACTTGCATAGCAATAAGCAACTGAAATTTCAAAATTTTCTATCTTTCATAAGTGACATCTTTCCCAGACATACAGGTGAGATGCCAGTGGTACTGGAGGAAGATGCCAGTTATGTGGAATATGTAGTAGTCAACAATAAAAAATACTTTTATAGTGTTACATATTGTACATTAATTAATGACAAGTCTGCCAACTTCATGACATTATTGTAAGCATGCTTTACAGCATTTCACTAATCCTTCTGATGTTAAATTTATTATATTTTCCATAAACTTCAAGAAACACCTAAACAGAATGTAAATTCTTTGCATGCACTTTCTGCAGTAATCCCTATCAGAACTACACACTTCATGAAACAATTTTTCAGAATACAATGCATTCAATTCAATCACTTTAGGTCCTCTTTTGTCATAAAAATATCCAAGTAGCATGATTACCTTTTCTTTAATAATTGTGAGGCATAATCTAGCAATGAATAAATAAAAAATGATAAACTCCTTTTTACCATACACACTGCAGTATCACTAAAGTGAAATACAATGTGGCATCTTATCCCAATGTCAGAAAAAGTGCAATCTACTTCTCAAACTGTCTCTTTGGAAACACATCTCCATCCCCTTTTGTTAATCAACCACACAGTTCCCAATAATATATAAAAATATCAATTTATATTAAACACAGGTTCAACAGTCATTACTATCAAGAAGAGAAATGTAACATGTCTGCATATCAGCAACAATGAGCATAAATCTACATATATCTTGGATGAATGACAATAAACTAAAAGAAACTTATATGTGAGAAGATCCAGACTTCAAAATAAACAATTTAACATCATAACATTAACTTTGTCAATTATCTGTCAACTTTCACACCTGGGAGTATATCTTCCATTAAGTTCTCTTCTCGCAACCTCCAGACCTGCTGTCCCAATTTCTTTGTTTTAATATAACAACTAACTACCAACAATCAGCAGTCGTNTAAACAATTTAACATCATAACATTAACTTTGTCAATTATCTGTCAACTTTCACACCTGGGAGTATATCTTCCATTAAGTTCTCTTCTCGCAACCTTCAGACCTGCTGTCCCAATTTCTTTGTTTTAATATAACAACTAACTACCAACAATCAGCAGTCGTTACCATCCTCAACTGGACCACTCGTTTCCTGTGCCTCCAATTTCAGATACATTTGGATACTTTGTTGTATTATATTGTTGGATACATTGGCAATTTCCTCTATGGGTATGTCCTTCTTGCCTACCGCCATATTATCTACTTTGGAATAAGAACTATCATTGAGAACTTTCTCTTTTTGAAGAAACCAGCAAGCATCAGATCTCTGTCATCTACAACAGGTGTGTTAAACTCATTTAAACAATAGGCCATTAATGCGAGTGGCAAGATTCACGTGGGCCACATCACATTTACAAATTTTTTAAAAATTATAATTTGAAGTGAGAATGCAGGAATATAGATAGGGCAATTAAAACACGTTATGTAGTTCAGTGAATTGAACTCAACAATATATAATTGCTATAGTATTGCTTTTATTTAAACATTTATTTTATTTAATGTACATATTTATAAAACTAAAATTAATTGTTTTCACCAGAAACTTGCCAGCACTATCTTCCTCCTCCTAGTTTCCCAATATCTGGATTCAAAGACTGAGAACAATCTTCATTATGGCAGATAGATGTTCATCAGTTAACCTTGATTTATAAGCCATTTTATTTGATTTCAGAGCATTGTGGTCACAGGCCACAAAAAAATCACATTGGGGGCAGCATGCGGCCCGACAGTTTGACATTCCTGATCTACGAGATCCTCTATAAGGTATTTATCCCCATGTACTCTAGTGTAAACTCTCTCTTGAGACCATGTCTACATAGTTGTTTTGATATAATATGTATCATGAATCCTTTTTTTTCTCTTTTTACAAATAAACAGTTATTTGTTCAGTTAACTGGAATCCGAGTAATTTAATTCCAACCTGCTGTCTCATGGTCTCCATCCCAAATCCGATCACCTACACACGCGGCCACTCGCGTGACCTACTTTTAAATATAATGCATGCTCCATGTCACCAAACATGCAGCAACAAAACAATGGTAAACATATTTTTGAAAATCACTTTATTTTCAAGTTTGCAGTAGCTCAAAATGCCCATTTTTTTAATGTATTCATTTATGACTCCATTATCAGGTACAGAGGGATCTACAACATTACATTTGCGAGCTAACTTTTTTCAGATTTTGACATCTCAAAAGTCAGGTGCACATTATATTTGATGGCACATTAGAATCAAGAAAACATGATNAATTATAAAGAAAACTGCATGGAATAACATTTGTACATAAGTTAACTATACCAAAGATAATTAAGAATAATTAAATCAATATCAATAACTTAAAGTTTAATTTACAGTATCTTGCCAAATTATTACACCCATTGACTATAATCATACGCTTTGTACTATTTTCCTCTCTTTTTTTATTAATATTGTTTAAGTAATGAGTATTTTTTTCATGTTATTCTTATTCTATATTATATCCAAAACACTTTTAATAATTTTTTGTATGGCAATACTGTAAATGTAAAACAAATTAACATTATACTACAAAAAAGAAAGTGGTAGAGGTTGCTAGTAAGGTATGGCAGCATAGCCTCATTTATGAGAACAAAAATTTAAAAAAATGTATAATGAGTATTCCTCATGACATAGAAGTACTACTACTGGGTGTTAAAGACGATCATTCAAAATACTAATTTTAATTTTTAATTTTTTAAGTTCTATTAAATTTAAATAATCCTATCAACAATTGCATTTTTATTGAATTATTACATCAGAAAAGTAACAAATCAATTTTTTGCATGAGTCAAGCAATGTGGCAAAGTACTATACAATACACAACTTTTCATAAGTTAGTTATATACTTACAATAAAATGTGGCAAAATATTGTCTTTTTCAGTATCATTTAATCCTTTAAGGATAATTTTCCGTGGCCTGTGATCGACACTTGTCAAATTATGATGGAGGAGTGATCTACTTCCTCGTAATACTCCTGTACTTCTCCTAGACAAAGTTTTCATAATTTTTCCACGTACAGATCTACCATCCAATAAGCCAAGTGCTCTTGCCTAGAATGTGGAAAATATTTTTTTTTTAAATAAAATAATTAAAAAATAGATAAATAAAACTTGTCAACCTGAAATAATGTTTCAGAATATTAAATTTATTAAACAGCAACAATTAAAACACGATTAAAATTTTGCTGTAGTCCAACAACTATTAATATGACTGATCCAACAATTTAACAAAGAAAAACTTTATATTTTAAAATTCTCACATTTTACTTTAATTTATTTAATAGTAAGATATAAAAAATACGATTTACATTCGATCTTTAAAGAATTAACATTTTAACTTTGAATTAAATAACAATAAATCTTTGCTAACAGTTTTAAGCTAGATAAATATGCTTTCAACGAAAATATAATTATATTAAATTTTACTATAAATATATAATATAAACATATAAAAGTAAAACAGTATTATAGACACTGCAGATGTTAATAATTTTAATAATAATTAGTTAAATTATTTAGTTTTTGGTGAAAAATCTAAATTATAAAATAAATTTTATGACTTATTCAATATTAAATTTCATCATCTTTTATTATCAAATACCAGAGATGCCAATCACTATGAATTTGCTGTAGTTTTTACAGAAGCTGTTAATAAATTACATACTTACAGATAACCTACTAAAAACTATAAAATGAGTTTTTATATTCTCAAATAACCACATTAATGTAATAAGTGGCAACAGGATGTTTAAGTATTAGTTAACACTTTGTCCACAGATAATTACTTGTATAGTCTCAAACCAATCAATTTGTTCATACTAATGGCGTGGAATGTACAGACAGTAAGTAGTTTCACTTTGCAAGCAGCTAACTAAAGATCTGTAAAAAATTGTTCTTGGGCACAACCAAGTCACACGGTCATGCTAAAAACCTGTTGAAAAATGACTCATGCTCAAGTCTAAAAATGATGTGTGCTTTTTTGATGTTTCAATGAGTACACTGGAAAAGCACAAGTGAAATACAGTGTAGTCTGTGCAACATGTAAGCAAAATGGCAAGTTCCATCAATGATATAAACTTTTATTCTATCAAATGAGAAATACCAACTTAAATTTATGTTGAAAATTTATTATAAGATAATTAATTAATAAATAAATATCCAAAATTTTAGGAACCTTATAATAAAGTGGATTTTTTTTTTCTATTTACATATTTAATTACTTAATATAATTAAATTTGTTAAATTAATAACAATTTAATTTTATAATCTGTTTCAGACAATAATTTAAAAACAAACTTATTTTAAAATACAATTAAGATAACTTATGAATATCCTAAAATTGGAGCAACGACATCACATATGACGGGCAGATTTTACTTCCCCATTTACCCCACTCTCCAACAGTGAAATATAATCCCACATTACTGACTGTCCTTTTTTCTGATTGGTGTTCTCTGAAATATACTCCTAATTTCAACTAATTAATCCATATTGGAAAAAATGCAATGAAAAAGCTAAATTTATGAGTATTTAAAATAAAATTTATAAATATGCCAATTGCTTAATCCACAAATTTTTAAAATATTTAACAAATTGAATAAGCAACATAAAATTAATTTGAGAATTTAGAAATTTGTGGCATTTGTTCTTTAAGTGCTCAATATGTAAAATAATAACAGAGTTCTTAATATGCAATATCTAAACAGAATGCAGTAAATCAGTTTTTTCCAGTCAATTTTACCTTAGGAAATAAACAGTTTCTTAGTGAAATTTTTACATAATTATAGGCAGTTCCCAACTCTTGGACATAACACATTCTTAAAAAAAGTATACAAAAGTCAAACAACAAAGTTGCACAATGTAACCAGAGTTCCATTCACAGAGTCAAAACAAAATATTACAGAATCTTTTATTTAGATAGGAGAGCTTTAGTTTTTTTACAGTGAATGTGTTACAAGCATAAAACATAAAACATTAAAGCTAAAGATTACACAATAAAAATTAATGCTCACAAATAGTTTTAGTATTGTCAAAACCAAAACCAGAATAAAGCACAATAGCGCAAAATTTTTATTTAAAGTGAAAACATATAAAAAGAGATTTAGAATATGTATGAAAAAGCAAGTTCAACCAAAAGTTGCAGACTGCCAAAAGTTATATTTACAATCAAGTAATTTTACAAAAAAAAATGATAATTTCATTTCAATATTAAAATACTATCATTCAAAAAAATTAAATCAATATTACATCAGTTTAGAGAAATAGTATAAAATGAATTGAGACCTGTTGCTTAAGTTCATTAACTCGTCTTCTGAGTTCTGTGGTATCGTCTCCTGTATGTTGTTTGTTATAAAGATCCATTTCAGCATCGAGCAATTCTTTCTCGGCCTGTAATAATGTTATCAAAAATAAATTTTGTGCCCTAATATTCATAAATCACAATTATTTAAAACACTACAAAACATTTTAAAATGTTAAAAAAGTAGTTGCACTAGAAGTTTCTGCCATGTAAAAAAATTAATTTTAGAAATAAAAAGAAACTACTGATAATATTGTGATTTTAATTAAATCATCACAGTTCAATCATTAAAGACAAGAAATTAGACAGAAATAATGTTTTCAATAAAGGTAAGAGCTGGATTTAGGAGTTTTCTATAAATGGCACAATTTTGAGTATTGAATAATCATAATTAACTATTTAATAGTAAAAGACAGCTATTAATCACAATATATCAGCATAAATACACCCAAACAGACAAGTACAATATTACATTTTCAATCATTGCTACAAAACAACTAACATTTAAAAGTTAAATCATATTTTTGCAGAATGACTGGATTGCCACATAAAAACAGGAAGGCCAGTATGCTGGAAACCCCAGGATTACTGACTGGCATGCCAATCAAACTGCAACTAAAATATAAAATTAATCAGATCTATCAAACTAGTTATTAAACAAATGTTAAGAAAGAAAAAAAAACATTCTCTGAGTACAATAATATAATATCATTGTAATTTGATTGACTTAAAATCACAAAGAGAGTTTTCATTTACAAAACAATAAAACAATTAATGACTTATTGACATTTGTTGGCAGTGGTAGTGGTAGTAATAAAATACACATAAGAAAAAGCATTTTCAAAATTCCACAAGTATTTTATGTCATTAGAAAGAAGACAAAATGAAGAAATTAAGCATATAACAGGGTGCCCTTAAAGCAGTCATGGCAGTGAAAAAAGAGAGTTCACACTGAAAAAAAAAGCTAATAGTGTTAAAGTGAACTAAAAGAGACATTATTAAAAAAAACACACAAACACACACACACATTTTGTATCAATAATTTGCATATCATATTAGATTTATTTTTAATTGGACTGAAAAAATTAAATATGAAAATAGGCTGAGTTTATACTCCAGAAAAGTGACCAGTAAGACTGCATTAAGCCAGAACGAACCTGCATTAAGTTTTCATGTGCCCCGTATGGAGTTCCTACTGTTATACAGCAAAGGAAATGGAAGAGTAACATAACTACCAAAATGTGTCTCCATATAACATGTCAAATTTCAAATTCCATTTATTTCAAGGTACATTTTTTGATTTCTTGTTAAAAAAATTTGTAATTAAAGATGATTTTCTTTTGTTTAAGTCATGCTGCAGTTTCTGCACTTCTCTTGTGTTCTTCTCTTCATCACACTGAATTTTCTTCACACCAGAGTAAGCAATTCACTATAGAGTTTATGTATTAAAGGATCATTGCACTGAAAATGCCCAGTAAACTTTGTGAATAGTTCAGCACTATATATTCCCAAATAGCATTCAGATTTGATGGTAGAACACTTCAATGACTTTGAGATTATCTTATATGAAACACTATTCATTAAGCTGGAATTCTTGAGGAATGTGCTTTAGGAAGTATGAGTCCTTCCCATTGTTCGATCAGTCGTTTTGCTGCAGGACCAAACTCAGTCACCTAGTTGATGAATACTTCATAAATTTGTTGCATGGCAAATTATGTTTCTCTTGAATTTCTGTGTATTCATCACACCTAGAGAGCCACCCATCAAAAAAGCTGTGTGTTGCTATGATGAGATCACCACCTTCTCTGTCCAACTCTTTCAGGCCTTTCAAAAAGGCATTGTGGATTGTATGAATGCTGCAAGTCCCTATGTTGATGAGGCCTTTTTTGCAAGTTGTCAAAATTTCCTCATTTATGAAACACAATATTTTTTTGTTTAAGTTTGGTCCATATCAGTAATTTATTGAAAGATAGATATGCATCTTCAATTGCCAGTATTATTTTTGATTTAATTGTTTTAGCATCTGCATGCCTGATAAATGAGGTCTGGAGATACCGGCAGACAACTTCCTGTTGTTCCTTTGACCAGTATCTAATCACTATTTGCAGTTATTTTCTGTCTTCTACATTGCATGTCTCATCATAAGAAATGCTATAATATGACCATTGTGCATCGTCTACCATTTGATCAAAGAAATATGGGGCCAAATCTTCAGTGATTAAGTATCTCATTTTTTGATGTGACAATGAGAATTCTTTTGGAAGATTGTCTGCACACTTGGCATTGATTGTCTCCTTTATATCATGACATGATGCAAATGAATAATTGCTGGCTGTCATTTTCATAGTCCATATAAGCTCTGCAATGTAAGCACCATCTTTTGCACTACAAAGTTGAAGCACTGGTTGTTGCAATAATTGGTGTTCTGAACTGGCACCTGAGTCTGCAACATTGCTCATACTAGCAACACTTTCAGCACTAATACTTTGACATTGAGACATCTGAGGGGTAGTCGTCAGTCTTAACTGTTTGGGACCAAAAGCTTCATTGCATTCATTTATATGTTTCTCGCAGCTTGAATGTTGCAGTATGGGGGGGTGTGCTGGTCACTATTTTGCTCCTGAATGCATTTACAAAAATAAATAAATAAATTCCACATGGGAAGTGAAAAAAGCTAAAAAAGCAAGTTTGCCTCAGAAAAAAGTAAAAAAAAGAGAGGAGCTATAAAAAAAAGTGAGTCACTTTAAGCCCTGCATATAATCATAGTTTTTAATATAATGCTGACAAGTTCACAATTTTAAAATAAAATACTGTTTGTTTTTACATGANTAGCTGCTAAGTACTTATCAGCTCCTGCAAGCAGCGTGTATTCAGAGAGGCTTTTTAGTGAAGCAGGAAATGTATACGAAGAAAAGAGGAACAGACTTCTTCCCAAAAATGCGGAAAAGTTGATTTTTCTGCACCATAACCTACCACTTATTGACTTCAGTTATAATAAATAATTTTGTACGATGAAATAAAAAAGTTAATTTAATTTTCAGTTTTATAATAAAGGATGATTTCATAAAATTACAGATCATTAATTATTATTTTTTCACATTTTATGACCTAAGTTTCGATCTAATGTCCCCACGCAGTAAAAATTTTCATATAAATTTTTTACTCTTTTTAACTCCTTTAGGGTTTAATTTCGTAAAATCTTTTCTTAGTACATCTAAACTTTTCAAAAGGAACACACCCTCAAAATTTTAAGATTCTAACATCAGTAGTTTTGGCTCTGCGTTAATTATCCTATCAGGACTTGTTCTTTTATATATGAGTATATAGATGACTAAACTACATAATAAGTAGGTAGTTTTCATTTGATTTGTTACCCTTTTTTAATCTCTTAAAAAATAACTTAGTTATATTACTTTTCCTTTGATCTTTTACATAAATAAGCAAAAAATTGCGCTTTCTCGATCTTAAAATGTATGTTCAACATTGATAAAAGTTACCAAAATGATTAATTTACTGTGTTTTGTTATTTCTTACTCCTGTTTTTAGGTATTCGGTATTCGGCCGAATAGTGATTAAATATTCGGTATTCGGCCGAATAGCAAAAAATAGGCCGAATAGTGGCCGAATATTCGTTACATCACTAATATATATATATTATTTAAAAAGCTAATTATGTAAAGAAATAACTTACTAATTCGGCATCTCTCCTAGTCTTGAATGTAACTACTGTTCCTCCAGTAGTGTGTTCAATATTTTCCACTTCTGCATATTGCTAATAAAAGTAATAATTTAAAAGTAATTAAAATAGTATGAAGTAAACTAAATAAAACATTCACTACAAATGAGAATACTACTTTTAAAACAATTTTAACTTTAAATTTTCTTTTTTTTAAAGACTGTAATAATTTTAATTTAAGAATTTCTTAATGTTAACATACTTGAATGAAAGAAACAATTTGATTTTTTAAATTCTGTTTTTGATTTGTTCTATTCGAACAAATCAAAAACAGATTTTAAAAATCTTAAATTGTTTCTTTATATAATTTTAATTTTAAAAAATGAAAAAAATAGAAATTATAAAGAAAACTGCATGGAATAACATTTGTACATAAGTTAACTATACCAAAGATAATTAAGAATAATTAAATCAATATCAATAACTTAAAGTTTAATTTACAGTATCTTGCCAAATTATTACACCCATTGACTATAATCATACGCTTTGTACTATTTTCCTCTCTTTTTTTATTAATATTGTTTAAGTAATGAGTATTTTTTTCATGTTATTCTTATTCTATATTATATCCAAAACACTTTTAATAATTTTTTGTATGGCAATACTGTAAATGTAAAACAAATTAACATTATACTACAAAAAAGAAAGTGGTAGAGGTTGCTAGTAAGGTATGGCAGCATAGCCTCATTTATGAGAACAAAAATTTAAAAAAATGTATAATGAGTATTCCTCATGACATAGAAGTACTACTACTGGGTGTTAAAGACGATCATTCAAAATACTAATTTTAATTTTTAATTTTTTAAGTTCTATTAAATTTAAATAATCCTATCAACAATTGCATTTTTATTGAATTATTACATCAGAAAAGTAACAAATCAATTTTTTGCATGAGTCAAGCAATGTGGCAAAGTACTATACAATACACAACTTTTCATAAGTTAGTTATATACTTACAATAAAATGTGGCAAAATATTGTCTTTTTCAGTATCATTTAATCCTTTAAGGATAATTTTCCGTGGCCTGTGATCGACACTTGTCAAATTATGATGGAGGAGTGATCTACTTCCTCGTAATACTCCTGTACTTCTCCTAGACAAAGTTTTCATAATTTTTCCACGTACAGATCTACCATCCAATAAGCCAAGTGCTCTTGCCTAGAATGTGGAAAATATTTTTTTTTAAAATAAAATAATTAAAAAATAGATAAATAAAACTTGTCAACCTGAAATAATGTTTCAGAATATTAAATTTATTAAACAGCAACAATTAAAACACGATTAAAATTTTGCTGTAGTCCAACAACTATTAATATGACTGATCCAACAATTTAACAAAGAAAAACTTTATATTTTAAAATTCTCACATTTTACTTTAATTTATTTAATAGTAAGATATAAAAAATACGATTTACATTCGATCTTTAAAGAATTAACATTTTAACTTTGAATTAAATAACAATAAATCTTTGCTAACAGTTTTAAGCTAGATAAATATGCTTTCAACGAAAATATAATTATATTAAATTTTACTATAAATATATAATATAAACATATAAAAGTAAAACAGTATTATAGACACTGCAGATGTTAATAATTTTAATAATAATTAGTTAAATTATTTAGTTTTTGGTGAAAAATCTAAATTATAAAATAAATTTTATGACTTATTCAATATTAAATTTCATCATCTTTTATTATCAAATACCAGAGATGCCAATCACTATGAATTTGCTGTAGTTTTTACAGAAGCTGTTAATAAATTACATACTTACAGATAACCTACTAAAAACTATAAAATGAGTTTTTATATTCTCAAATAACCACATTAATGTAATAAGTGGCAACAGGATGTTTAAGTATTAGTTAACACTTTGTCCACAGATAATTACTTGTATAGTCTCAAACCAATCAATTTGTTCATACTAATGGCGTGGAATGTACAGACAGTAAGTAGTTTCACTTTGCAAGCAGCTAACTAAAGATCTGTAAAAAATTGTTCTTGGGCACAACCAAGTCACACGGTCATGCTAAAAACCTGTTGAAAAATGACTCATGCTCAAGTCTAAAAATGATGTGTGCTTTTTTGATGTTTCAATGAGTACACTGGAAAAGCACAAGTGAAATACAGTGTAGTCTGTGCAACATGTAAGCAAAATGGCAAGTTCCATCAATGATATAAACTTTTATTCTATCAAATGAGAAATACCAACTTAAATTTATGTTGAAAATTTATTATAAGATAATTAATTAATAAATAAATATCCAAAATTTTAGGAACCTTATAATAAAGTGGATTTTTTTTTTCTATTTACATATTTAATTACTTAATATAATTAAATTTGTTAAATTAATAACAATTTAATTTTATAATCTGTTTCAGACAATAATTTAAAAACAAACTTATTTTAAAATACAATTAAGATAACTTATGAATATCCTAAAATTGGAGCAACGACATCACATATGACGGGCAGATTTTACTTCCCCATTTACCCCACTCTCCAACAGTGAAATATAATCCCACATTACTGACTGTCCTTTTTTCTGATTGGTGTTCTCTGAAATATACTCCTAATTTCAACTAATTAATCCATATTGGAAAAAATGCAATGAAAAAGCTAAATTTATGAGTATTTAAAATAAAATTTATAAATATGCCAATTGCTTAATCCACAAATTTTTAAAATATTTAACAAATTGAATAAGCAACATAAAATTAATTTGTGAATTTAGAAATTTGTGGCATTTGTTCTTTAAGTGCTCAATATGTAAAATAATAACAGAGTTCTTAATATGCAATATCTAAACAGAATGCAGTAAATCAGTTTTTTCCAGTCAATTTTACCTTAGGAAATAAACAGTTTCTTAGTGAAATTTTTACATAATTATAGGCAGTTCCCAACTCTTGGACATAACACATTCTTAAAAAAAGTATACAAAAGTCAAACAACAAAGTTGCACAATGTAACCAGAGTTCCATTCACAGAGTCAAAACAAAATATTACAGAATCTTTTATTTAGATAGGAGAGCTTTAGTTTTTTTACAGTGAATGTGTTACAAGCATAAAACATAAAACATTAAAGCTAAAGATTACACAATAAAAATTAATGCTCACAAATAGTTTTAGTATTGTCAAAACCAAAACCAGAATAAAGCACAATAGCGCAAAATTTTTATTTAAAGTGAAAACATATAAAAAGAGATTTAGAATATGTATGAAAAAGCAAGTTCAACCAAAAGTTGCAGACTGCCAAAAGTTATATTTACAATCAAGTAATTTTACAAAAAAAAATGATAATTTCATTTCAATATTAAAATACTATCATTCAAAAAAATTAAATCAATATTACATCAGTTTAGAGAAATAGTATAAAATGAATTGAGACCTGTTGCTTAAGTTCATTAACTCGTCTTCTGAGTTCTGTGGTATCGTCTCCTGTATGTTGTTTGTTATAAAGATCCATTTCAGCATCGAGCAATTCTTTCTCGGCCTGTAATAATGTTATCAAAAATAAATTTTGTGCCCTAATATTCATAAATCACAATTATTTAAAACACTACAAAACATTTTAAAATGTTAAAAAAGTAGTTGAACTAGAAGTTTCTGCCATGTAAAAAAATTAATTTTAGAAATAAAAAGAAACTACTGATAATATTGTGATTTTAATTAAATCATCACAGTTCAATCATTAAAGACAAGAAATTAGACAGAAATAATGTTTTCAATAAAGGTAAGAGCTGGATTTAGGAGTTTTCTATAAATGGCACAATTTTGAGTATTGAATAATCATAATTAACTATTTAATAGTAAAAGACAGCTATTAATCACAATATATCAGCATAAATACACCCAAACAGACAAGTACAATATTACATTTTCAATCATTGCTACAAAACAACTAACATTTAAAAGTTAAATCATATTTTTGCAGAATGACTGGATTGCCACATAAAAACAGGAAGGCCAGTATGCTGGAAACCCCAGGATTACTGACTGGCATGCCAATCAAACTGCAACTAAAATATAAAATTAATCAGATCTATCAAACTAGTTATTAAACAAATGTTAAGAAAGAAAAAAAAACATTCTCTGAGTACAATAATATAATATCATTGTAATTTGATTGACTTAAAATCACAAAGAGAGTTTTCATTTACAAAACAATAAAACAATTAATGACTTATTGACATTTGTTGGCAGTGGTAGTGGTAGTAATAAAATACACATAAGAAAAAGCATTTTCAAAATTCCACAAGTATTTTATGTCATTAGAAAGAAGACAAAATGAAGAAATTAAGCATATAACAGGGTGCCCTTAAAGCAGTCATGGCAGTGAAAAAAAGTGAAAAAAGAGAGTTCACACTGAAAAAAAAAGCTAATAGTGTTAAAGTGAACTAAAAGAGACATTATTAAAAAAAACACACAAACACACACACACATTTTGTATCAATAATTTGCATATCATATTAGATTTATTTTTAATTGGACTGAAAAAATTAAATATGAAAATAGGCTGAGTTTATACTCCAGAAAAGTGACCAGTAAGACTGCATTAAGCCAGAACGAACCTGCATTAAGTTTTCATGTGCCCCGTATGGAGTTCCTACTGTTATACAGCAAAGGAAATGGAAGAGTAACATAACTACCAAAATGTGTCTCCATATAACATGTCAAATTTCAAATTCCATTTATTTCAAGGTACATTTTTTGATTTCTTGTTAAAAAAATTTGTAATTAAAGATGATTTTCTTTTGTTTAAGTCATGCTGCAGTTTCTGCACTTCTCTTGTGTTCTTCTCTTCATCACACTGAATTTTCTTCACACCAGAGTAAGCAATTCACTATAGAGTTTATGTATTAAAGGATCATTGCACTGAAAATGCCCAGTAAACTTTGTGAATAGTTCAGCACTATATATTCCCAAATAGCATTCAGATTTGATGGTAGAACACTTCAATGACTTTGAGATTATCTTATATGAAACACTATTCATTAAGCTGGAATTCTTGAGGAATGTGCTTTAGGAAGTATGAGTCCTTCCCATTGTTCGATCAGTCGTTTTGCTGCAGGACCAAACTCAGTCACCTAGTTGATGAATACTTCATAAATTTGTTGCATGGCAAATTATGTTTCTCTTGAATTTCTGTGTATTCATCACACCTAGAGAGCCACCCATCAAAAAAGCTGTGTGTTGCTATGATGAGATCACCACCTTCTCTGTCCAACTCTTTCAGGCCTTTCAAAAAGGCATTGTGGATTGTATGAATGCTGCAAGTCCCTATGTTGATGAGGCCTTTTTTGCAAGTTGTCAAAATTTCCTCATTTATGAAACACAATATTTTTTTGTTTAAGTTTGGTCCATATCAGTAATTTATTGAAAGATAGATATGCATCTTCAATTGCCAGTATTATTTTTGATTTAATTGTTTTAGCATCTGCATGCCTGATAAATGAGGTCTGGAGATACCGGCAGACAACTTCCTGTTGTTCCTTTGACCAGTATCTAATCACTATTTGCAGTTATTTTCTGTCTTCTACATTGCATGTCTCATCATAAGAAATGCTATAATATGACCATTGTGCATCGTCTACCATTTGATCAAAGAAATATGGGGCCAAATCTTCAGTGATTAAGTATCTCATTTTTTGATGTGACAATGAGAATTCTTTTGGAAGATTGTCTGCACACTTGGCATTGATTGTCTCCTTTATATCATGACATGATGCAAATGAATAATTGCTGGCTATCATTTTCATAATCCATATAAGCTCTGCAATGTAAGCACCATCTTTTGCACTACAAAGTTGAAGCACTGGTTGTTGCAATAATTGGTGTTCTGAACTGGCACCTGAGTCTGCAACATTGCTCATACTAGCAACACTTTCAGCACTAATACTTTGACATTGAGACATCTGAGGGGTAGTCGTCAGTCTTAACTGTTTGGGACCAAAAGCTTCATTGCATTCATTTATATGTTTCTCGCAGCTTGAATGTTGCAGTATGGGGGGGTGTGCTGGTCACTATTTTGCTCCTGAATGCATTTACAAAAATAAATAAATAAATTCCACATGGGAAGTGAAAAAAGCTAAAAAAGCAAGTTTGCCTCAGAAAAAAGTAAAAAAAAGAGAGGAGCTATAAAAAAAAGTGAGTCACTTTAAGCCCTGCATATAATCATAGTTTTTGATATAATGCTGACAAGTTCACAATTTTAAAATAAAATACTGTTTGTTTTTACATGACATAACTTGTTCATTTTTTAGATGCACCCTCTAAAGACAGATGATAACTCCACTTAAATTGGCATGCCAGTATTCCTCAGGATAAACCTGCATATTGGTTTTTACCATATCAAAATATCTGATTTCATGGTCTCCCCAGATAGAGGTATGCCAGTCATTCCCTGAAAGTATGGTACTACATTATGGATACTTCATGACCAAATAATTCACAACTGCAGTCATTATCTGTGCTTAATTTTTGCAGATATTAATCTAGATGTTCCTCTAATACGTCCACCTATGTCCAACTGCCATATCTTTTTCACCAAAGACTTACTTTTATTGTTTTGATTCGTAAAATTCTACAAATTATATATCACCTTGTGTTAAAAACAAAGGAGTTTTTATTCTAAAACTGTGAAACTGTCAGCATTATATCAAAAACTATGATTATATGTTTAATTTCTTTATTTTGTCTTCTTTCTAACATAAAATAATCTTGGAATTCCAAAAGTGCTTTTTTTATCTGTACTTTATTGTTATTTGATTCAAAAATAAACATATTAAATTTAAGAAACTGGCTGTAAATTATCTCAGCTTACACCAATTAACATCCGCTTTGAAATTTAAGAGGAAGGTGTTATTTTTAAGGTAGATAGATGGTCAGTGTAGCCCACACTAACTACTACTATGACCAAACTCTTCTGTTATCTGGCAACTGGAGAAAGGTGATAATGAAGCATTGTTAAGCACTTCTTGGTAAAATATTCACTGACCAGAAATGATTGATGTGGAGAGATATTATCATTTCTTATCTGACAACTCTCTCTGATATTTCTATGTAGTTTCAATCCTATCATAATACTCATGATGGAGACAATAAATGTAACAGTTGCACTTAAACCTTGACTTCTGCTAAAAGTAACTCTCTCTCATAGTCACACATAATATAAAAATCCAAATGTTCAATTAATTTTTGACTCTACTTTGTATTTAATATAACATATCAGGTCAAAGCAAATTTAATTAACAGTCTTTATTTGGAAATTTAATAACAATATTAAAAATCAATTCAAATTAGATTCTATTAATTTTTTTTTCATATTTATTCAACTATTTTCAAAATTCTAGGTTTTGTAATTAAAAGATCAACATAATTACAATTTTTTTCCCTTTACATATCAAAAACGTTTGCAGTAATATTAGTAAATCATCATTAAATAATTTTCAACATAAAATAATTATACAAATATATTACCTCAGCTTTGGCTTTAGGAATTCTATGATTTGAAGCAAGAGATAACTGTGAAATCTCAGAAGCTTCTTTTCGGATATCCATTTGTAGTTTCTCTATTGTCTTTACCAAAGATTGAAGAGTCTATGTATAACAAAATACAGTTATCTTACTACATTACATAAATTAAAATTTAAATTGATAATACAATAATGGTAACCTATTCTCATCAATACTTTTATTTATACAGTAATGCCTCGACTTATGCTACCCCGACTTACGCGAACCCGGAGTTACGTGATTTTCAAATCTCGTCAATTTGTCTTTTGTTTGAGTGACACGCAACTCTTGATTACTCACTCCCCCACACTATTGTTTAACTTACATGTTCGGACATGTCACATGGAATCGACATATAGCTACAATTTATTTTGTATTATTTATTTCTGTGTTTGTTATATCTACGGAGACTTGAGAGACTCTGTGTGGTGATTTCTTGTAAACGTGAACAAATCAAAAGACAAGATAAGATTAACAAGAATATTTATCAGCTTACATACATCCGATTTGGATTTTATACAAATTGCGAAATTATACCCCGACTTACGCTGTTATCGCTCGGTCCCACCTATCACATAAGTACGCGGTATTACTGTATATAATAACATAAAAACAAATGTATTTGATGCAACTATCTGACCTCTCCATGATATGCAAAATGAAAAACTAAAAACCTACTGCATTATTCCCAATTGATAAACAAAATAAGTACAGTAGAATCTCATTTTAATAGATCGCTTGGAGTGCCAAAAATCATCTGTTATTCCAAAAATCCATTATATCACAAACAGCAATTTTCTCAAACTCCCAGGAAAATATCCATTATTCAAAAAATTTTTTTTGTTTTTTAAACCCCTATGTAAAAAAAAACACCTGTACTTGAAATTATTCATCTCTTCAGATTTCTATCCTTTATTTTATATAAACATGTATATTACAAGATTGTACATTATAAACCAAAAAGCAACAAAGTATGCATGATCACTAGCACTTATGTTAAAAATGTTATAAAATACTCACCAATATGTTAAAAAATATGTTAAATATGTTAAAAAAAAACTTGCCCATTTTGGTTTGCTTTGATGACCAACATTTCTTGACTTCTTTTGATGGCATCATCAGTATGAAATGTTACTGTTACATGAGCACAATTTCAAGATGCAATATTCCCAAACATGTATCTGCAAAAAAGGTGAAGCACACCTTTCTTGCACACACATTCTGAAAGTGTTAAGCCAGAAGTAGTTTCTCCCTCACTAACCAATGTGCTACAAAAGGGCACTAATGTGTAGCTGCAATGTGAGAATCATGACGATTATGCACTACATGATTGTCACGATGAAAATATGTTGCACAGCGTGCAATCTATTTTTTAAAATTCAATATCCAGAAACATCCAATTATTAATTAAATGTTAAAAAATACAATTTTTACTGAAAATGGAGCTAGAAAATATCCATTATTCTGAGTTCCAGATCTGTTAAAAAGAGGTAAAATTACATTGATTTGGCAGAACGTGGAGAAAAAAATCCATTATTCCAAAAAAATCTGTTGTTCTGTGATCCATTAAAACCAGATTCCACTGTATATACATTTAAATAATTAATTATAATAATTTCAATCTCAATACAATTATAGTCGACCCCCCTATAATGCGGGTTCATATAATGTGGATTCATATATCGTGGAGAAAAAATTGCAACCGTATTCATATAAAGACGCTAAAAGAGACTCCTAAAATGTGGTAAAACATCATCGCCGACTCGTGTCGCGACAGGATTGGTCAAATTTGGACCAATAGTAGATGAGCAGCCGAACTACTTACACGCTACGGAGAGTTTAGACAGGTAAGTTGAGTTCACTATCGTCTGTACAGTATACAAATTAGGTACTGTAAGTCTAATACAGTACTGTAATTTTATACATTTCTTGTGAAAAAAACATTTCTTATTCAACGGCCATAAAAATGATTTCTATTAATGATGTCTCCAAAGTTCAGGGAATTTTTTGCAGAAAAATAACTTATTAGAAAGAGCACCCACTGGTGTGCCGCTCCGTGACGAAAACAAGCTTAAGCAATGGCATCGTCGAACGGTGCACACTCGGTAAAGCTTAGTTCACACTGAGCGCGATTCGCTGGCGAAAGCGAAAAACAGAGCGAATAACCTGTCAAACGAGTCATGTTTGACCGGTTATTCGCTCTGTTTTTCGCTTTCTCCAGCGAATCGCGCTCAGTGTGAACTAAGCTTTAGTAATCCTACAATTTTTTGTTTATAGCATAATTTATACAGATTATTCCCAAAAAATTATATGTGTTTTGGAAATGTTGAGTCAAATTAGTCTATAATCGATTAATTTTATGGAAGAAAACCTTTCAAACAGCTGTAGTCTCTAAACTGCACACATGCCGGGCTGTAATTGGCTCATGTATTTAAGGATTCCTACAACGTGAAATTCTTATAAAGTGGAACGTATCTACCACGTTATACGGGGGTCAACTGTATATTCATTTTGTTTTGTTATTTTCCAAAAATAAATTATGGTAAGCATACATATTAACACTAGTACACACTACGAATACTTTATCTGAAACACAGTGTTGAAATGACAACAGAATGTGTTTATGTTGTCATTTCCCATTGTGTTTGAAACATGTACTGTAATTTGGTTATTAAAAAAAATTTAATTTTTTTAATTAATCACTTATTATATATGGACTATATTATTTATGCAGAGCAGTGGTGTCAAACATATGGCCCCAGAGACTTTATAATGTAGCCATTGCCTGAAACTTGAAGATGATGTTATTAAAATAATAAAATAAAATTTTAAAAAATACAAAATAAATTTTTAATATATTGCAAATTACTTTTCAAGTCAGTGACTAAAAATTTTATTGTTCCATATACAGGTTTACTCAAAAAATTGTCAATTTCATGTCTGAAAGATATGGCAACATTGCACAACATACTACTTATGTCAACAACTACTTTCCAGTTGAAAGATTAATAGAAGTTCACATACAGCAAGATTAACAAATGTGCATTCAACATCTATACTAAAAACATCCTTATTGCAAAAAATTACACCCACAATTAATAAAATTGTTTCTGCCAGATGCCAAGTTTCTAGTAAAAAAAATTAATTTTTTAATTTTAAATTTTGCTATAGCATTTGATAATAACACAGAGATAATATACATTTTTTAATTTTTGTAAATTCATTAAAGAATAAATAAATATAAAATTTTAAATAAGTTCATTTTGAATATACATAAAAGACCTTTGTGATTGAATACACCTATAACATTATACTTAAGGAATTCAAATTACATGAATTCAAAATCATGTATAAACAGTGTTTGCAGCACTCATTCCATAAAATTTCTACAGCAAGACTTTATAGCACGGGTGCCTCAAACACTATTTCTACATGATTTTGATTTCCATAAGTATAGTATTATAAGTGTAATCTAACCACAAAACACTGTATGACAATTCATTTATAATATAGGTGATTATAGCATTCATGGAAATTGGCCCTCTTGCTCCGCTCATGTGCCAAACTTCCATTCATGCCATAATCACCTATATTATAAACTAATTGCATAATATACTATTTTTTGTCTGCAACTCACTCTCACTCTAAAACTGTATTTAGTGACCCATGATATTATATGAGTGACACCACTGATGAAGACCATCAAGATTATCGTATTGATTCTCCTTAAACTTATTCTTGGAATAAAATTCTCTCTATAAAACATAAAATAGAAGTTTAATTTTTAAGTCTTTTTATAATTTCCTATTACAAAGCTAACTTTTAATGCCACTTAAACTGACAAATAATATTGCTTGAAATTATACTATAATTATTCTGTCAAAAAAATTTTCAGATTAAAAAGGAATTTATTACACAACTGAATAATAAAAAATCAAAAAAATAACACAAATTTATAAAGTTAAAATATAATTCCTAATATATAAAATTTATTTAAATAAGACTTATTTATGATGATATATCTATCCATAATTGAGATTTCAAAACAATCTCTAAAAACAATTTAGAAACTGAACATAACAGTTTCATTTACTCTAACCTAAAATATTTACAAAAGTAAATTTTTATACACACACCTCTTTTATGTCTACTTTTTCTTTTTCATTCTTGCATTTCTCTAATTTTTCAACCAATAACTAAAAAAAAGAGAAAAATATTTCAAAACTTTTTAAACAAATTCATTTTAAAAACTGGACTGCTGAATTACCAAAGAACATTCAAATTAAAAGCTTTATGTAATATGCATTTATGCATATTACATAAAGATCTACATAAATGCATATTACATAAAGATTTACATAAATGCATGTATGCATGCATCTATGTAAGAAAAAAGCATAATTAGTCAAATTGGCCAAATCCAAATGTTAAATACTTTACATATAAATACAGTAAAAATTTTAACTAAAAAAATTTAATAATTTTAAAATCTATAATCCTATTTAATAAAAATAATTTTACAATTGAATTATACATATTTTTTTGTCTACATCTTAATTTCTTATTTTGAATAGATAAATTTATAGACTATGAATGAATGCTGTGAATTATATTCAAAATTATTTTAATCTTAAGTCATCAAACATACTTTATGTTGTTGAACATTAGTTTGTAAAAGTTGCTGCCTTTTCTTCTGGACTTCCATCTTCTTTTTCAGAGCATTCTGTAATGAAATTTATGAATAATTATAACATATTAACATTTTATAAATGTTATAAAAATACAATTTTTATTTGCTCAAAAGCAAATTTCATATCCTTAATGTTTAAATTAAACTAAGAATGAATGTTTGCATTTTATATATATAGTCACCAAGATAAATTAATTGCATCCTTCAATGCCTGTTTAGAAATATTCCTTTACAATTAATTGCTATTTACATGAATCTACAATGCTATCATACTAAATTTGATATTAGTATCATCTAACATATATCGCATGTTGTTAGCTATAATAAACTCATAAGAAATGCTACAGACATAATTCATAAATCATGATTAACTAAAAACTGTAATTTTAAAAGAGCAGATACCAAAAAATAATAAATGTGTTTTTAATTAAATTATTTTTAAGCTTAATTTTACTTAGAATTTAAATATTGTAAAAATTACTACTGGAGTTTTAAATTTGTAAATTACAGTACAATTATATTTTTTCTAAATTTTGTATGTGCATGGAATGTTTAGGAACAATATAGTGCATACAAGGAGGTTGGTCTTTGTTCCCTCTTAATCCAGTCAATATCATTCATCATTGTGTAACATGAGTAATCTGCAGGAACTGTAGAATTATGGTTGCTACAGAAGGAATGACAACAGACATACGCAGTAGCAAGCATACGAAGAATTTAAGTATCAGTTGGATGTGTGCCCTATGACATGAAGTGCANTTAATCCAGTCAATATCATTCATCATTGTGTAACATGAGTAATCTGCAGGAACTGTAGAATTATGGTTGCTACAGAAGGAATGACAACAGACATATGCAGTAGCAAGCATACGAAGAATTTAAGTATCAGTTGGATGTGTGCCCTATGACATGAAGTGCATGCATTGAGAAAGTGTAATAGGCAAATATGAAACTTGGTTTGTTTTCCAATGTTTTAATATAAGTTATGATGTTCTTGGATAATAATTAACATAATTTAAATAATTTAAAATGGTAGTATTCTTTTTGGAAGACCCTTTATTTTATTTTAATTCAAGCAAAGAATGTATGTTTAAATACATAAAATATATTTAAAAAAAAAACATGCAAACAAACTTAAGTAATTATCTTTTTTGAAGTATAAATAATCTTATTTTTGATTGCTGAATAATGCTTATTAACATGCAAATCCAAGGCATAAACATTGAAGATTTATTCTAATCATAAACATTTCATATAACTGAAAAGTAAACAACAAATTTTCCAGAAAATTTACTTACAATTAAGTTAATTATAAGAAAATAACATAATATAAAATCTATAAGCATCTAATAATCAAGACCAAATTAGATTATTAGTGTAGATAGAGATATTTTGCTTTCAATATATCATTATTATAACATGGAATAGTTAATTTTTCATTTTGTATATTTAATATATTAGTATAAAATTAAAAAAATAACAGAATAAAGTACCTTTTTCTGTTCTTCTTTAGATTTTCTAGGTAAAAGAGATGACAACGACGATGGCACATTAGTTTTCTTTAACACAGATGGATTAAATACTGTTCTTGAGAGATTACCAGTGGGCGAAAATACTACAGACTTATGAAAATAAAAAAAAAGAGAGATATAAACATTACAAAGTACTGTGAACTCATCTTTTAATCATATTTTTAATTTTACAATAGAAGTATTGATATTTTTTTTAGCAAGCAATACATAAACTCAAGACAAAATGCATCATAACTTTGGCTTATTTTTGACCTAACATCATTCTTAACTTAAAATTATACCGATGACAATTTAGCTTCCCAAAATCTATTTTTCATTGAATTAGACATTTACTTAGTTAAATATTAATTCCATTTAGGCAAATATCTATCTTTACAGCAGAATACATTTATTATATTTTAAAAATTTTCTTAATAATTTGAAATTGAAAAAAAAATTTTAAATGCATTTTACATCTTATTAAGGCTTACTGTGACAAACTCAGCTTCTATTATACTATTTTATATGCAGTTTTTTGCATTTTTCATTCCCACCACGGAGGGGGTAGAGAGAGGGTTAAGGATTACTCTGAAGAACTTGGCTTCTACTGTACTATTTTAGATGCCTTTTTTGCATTTATGCGGAAAATTTAACGTATTTTTAGATCCTTCTAAAAATTCTCAACAATATTTAGTGTTCCATTGTATATAAAGTTGACACGGGAAGCACATGCGCATAAGTTTGCTTTATTCGAACTCTTCATCTCAATGTTCAATTTTATGTTTGAATTTATATTTATGAATGATTCTGGAAGATCCAGCTTATTTTTCAAATTTATTAAACCTGAAGAAGAACCCAGAAAGAGATTTATTATTCATCACTTAATGGTTGCAGCGAGTCTTAATTATCATTATCCTGGTGTGGTAAACAGATATGTAAAAATTTTCTACTTAGTCACGGAAGAGGGAGACCTAATTCTTGCACTGAGTGAAAATGGGTAAGATTGGCTATAATCTAATAATCTTAATCTTCACTATTGTTACTTTTTGTCAGAGTAACACCAGGCTCATCTGCTAGTTTTTAATATAAAAGAACTGTCAGTTATTTCTTGAGCTTTACAAAATTTTGATATAAATAATAATGAATTTTTAAAAAATTTCACAGAGCAAAAACTATCTTAAAACTGTAAAATTCATTATTATAAATTTTGATAAAAATATTCTGATAATTTAATATTTTTTTGCTTTTGAATTTTTGCTCTTTATTACCAAAAATTTAACTTCAATATTAAACTTTTTGTGTGTTGATGCAATACATTTTTCTTCTTCCTACTTACTCATAACATGTTTATCACATGTAAACTTTTTTACTAAAAATAAACTGAAAAAACTAATAACTTAACAAAATACTTTATTATCAACTATATATCATCCCAACATTTTTATCATTTCTTTTCTAAATTGGCCATAATGTTTACATAAATAATAACATCGCAAAGCCCGAGTAGTATACATTAAATAACCAAACGATCGCCTAAATATTGAGCTACAATATGGCTAATTAAACGATTGGTATAAAGTAATTTGACACTAGAGGTAGACGTTAGGCACTATCTCTTAAGTAAATTAATAATTATAATTAAATAAATAAACTATTAAATAAATTTAGAACCTTCTGGAATAAAAGAATTTAATTATAATTATTAATTTACTTAAGAGATGGTGCCTAACGTCTACCTCTAGTGTCAAATTACTTTATACCAATCATTTAATTAGCCATATTATAGCTCGATATTTAGGCAATCATTTGGTTATATAATGTTTACTTTATAAACATTAATCATTACTATGATATTACTATAAAATTTATTCTAAAAATCTTTTTCATCTTTACTTTTTAGAACCCAGCATTCAGTTATCAAATTAAAACAATAAAGATTTTTAAAAATCTAATAAAAATATATATTTTACATCAATCAATTACTAAAATAAATTATGAAACTCACCCTTTCTGTAGCTTCTTCCAAAGTACTATTAGCTGTTTGATTGCAATGTGAAATGCTATTTGCTTTTGATATATTGAGTTGCAGTCCAAGCCTTTCTTTCACACTTGGTTTGGTTAAATTAGTTTCAGAAATTCCATTCTGCTCTTGTAACTGAGATATCTGAGTTTGTTTTTGTTGATTCTGAGCTTGTTGTGGTTGTTGCTGCTGTTGCTGTGGTGGTTGTTGCTGCTGTTGTTGCTGCTGCTGTTGTGGTTGTTGATTTGAATTATTTGTACCATCTTTATTATGCCAAAATACTTTTACAAAACGATTATTAAGAACGGCTTCTGTGCTTCTGTATGCAGCATTTGCTTCGGCATGACTATTAAACTGAATTAAAGCTGCTTCCGGATCTCCATCATAACAAACCTAATTCAAAAATATGTTTAATTAATAAATTTGTATTCAGATATTGTTGGAAACAAATTAAAATTAACTCAGTACTAAAATAAAATCAGACATTAAAGGCAAAATTTTTCCATTTATTAGAGCTATAAAATATCTTCAGGATATGACATAAAATATATGCTTTACATTGTAAGAAACCATTATTTTTAATTTGCTTAACTGAAACAAAATACAGTTGAACCTATCTATCTCAAACATGTTTATCTTAAATAATTTTCTCCCAAAACCTCTGTATCTCTAATTATGGACTAAAGTGTCAATTACAAATTCAAAGCTCAGCATATTTTGATAATCTAAACCAGTGATTCCCAAACTTTTTCGATCCACTGCCCCCTTTGTTCCATAAAGTTATACCCAACGCCCCTAACCCATTTTCTCTTGTGTGAGAAAGGTTTGGAAATATTCTTAGGAAAACTTTTCTATGAATCTCACATTTTGTGTCCTTACCGTACATTGTTCTCAACATCTGGAAATCATTAAACACAATGTTTCCTCTTATCAGTTTAAGAGAGGAAAGGGAACGGCTTTCAGTGACCCCAATTTTGCCTTTAGTCACCATTCAATACCCTGCCTCCAGTTCCTCCCTAAGATTTACTCATTGACCACAAGGGGGCATTATTGCCCACTTTGAGAAATGCTGATCTAAACTGACATTCAGAAACACCTTGAAATACTGTACATAGTTGCAATTAATGCTACTTTTCTATGATTGGCTTATGTCATATTGGTCAAAAATAAAAATTGTTAACAAACTATTTCTGTTAAGGTATGTTTTATTTATATCTAACACAGGTATGTACAGTATTGTATAATGTACTTCCAATCAAATCTATTACTGTTTACTATGTAAGAACATCTATATCTCAAAACCTACCATCTCAAATTCTTTTTCTCATTCTCTTGAGATTCGAGATAGATACACATTCAACTGTATTTATAATTGTTTTGAAAATGTTAAACAGTGCTCTTCAATTTGATAAAGTAAAACAAATCTAATATTTGCAAAGATAGCTAAACAGTTTCCATATATTTCTAAACAAATTCATCATTAAAAAACTTATACAGTAGAACCTCGAAAACTCGGCTCTCGATAACCCGGCACTCCGGATAACTCGGCCACACCCTAACAGGGCAAAAAAAATCCTTAGTTAATTAATTTTCATTATAGACAGCTTTATAAAAGTATAAAAGCTCTCATAAAGTATTTTTCTGAGGTCTGTGTTATCAGGTAAATTACTGTACACAGTGTATTCATTAATTTTTATTTTTATGTAGTAAAGGCTCTATGCCTTCATAAAGGACGTGGTTTTCCTTTGTTTAAGGGTATTTGGGCAGTTTATTCTCTGTTATATTCTCAAGTAAACAATACATATAAGTACAGTATATAAGTACAGTACAGTATTTTCTGAGGAAACACTCGTACTTATTTTTTTTAACCCCATTCCCGATAACCCGGCATTTTCACAAACTCGCCCACCCTTCGGTCCACATTAGGCCGAGTTTTCGAGGTTCTACTGTAATAATAACAACAGAAAAATTCCACAAAGCTTCAAAAGTATATCTACTCAAATGTACATTAGATTACAAAAAAGTAATACCAATCCAGTATAATCCAAACTTATTAAAGTCAGATAAAAATATTATCAACAATGCTCTAACAGAACACTTAAACAAATCAAAAGTGAAATGATAAAATTTAAATATCTACATACCTGTAAATTCACTATGTTTCCAAATTTTGAAAAATGACTATTTAAATGAGCTATAGAATTCAGATGCCTTGGAACTTTTCTTAATTCTAATATACACCTATCATTATTCATATTTGCTTGTTTTCTAGGTCCTAATCTACTATAGTCAAATGGTCTCCTTTTCATATTAGCTTCATTCGAATGATTAATGTGAGGAGCACCTGTGGAAGTAATTAGACCACTCGAAGCTGTTGTTGCTATTGTTTGACTACAAGGCATATTCAACACTGGCCGTTGAGGTTCGATTACCATTCTGTTGTTGTTATTGTTGTTTCCACTGCTGTTGTTATTACTGATTTTTGGAGAATCAACATCTGTAGAAATTTAAAACAAATATTAAGTTTAATGCAGATACAGAAATTTAAAAATACAGTAGAGTGTCGTTTATCCAAAAGCCAATCAACCGAAACATCGGTTAACCAAAAGCATTCCAGTCAGACTGTGTTGTGCTGAATCGAACATTTTTGATACTAGATTAACTTCCAAAATATAATTTTTTTGTTTTTATATTTTTCAATATATTTATTTTGTTTGTACAAAATAAAGAAATAATTTTTAACAATACAATAGCCACGATTATTATTTTAAAAAATTTATGTTAGGCTTAACATTGATGAAAATTCAATGCAAAGTGACACACAGTGGAGAAAAATTTCAACATGGGATAGGTTAATATATTTTTTGTACATAATCAGTTATCCAAACAACCACAGTCCCAACTGATTTGGATAAATGACACTCTACTGTATTTAAGTTTGTATTTTTTTACAAATAAAAAAGGAAACAAGAAATAGCCATAAGTTATTTAATTTTATATTTTTGTTTTAAATAACAAGATTGCAATTTAAAACTATATCCCTACATATACATGCTCAATATCACTTCAAAATTTAAAATCAGAAACTGATGGCATAATATCAAATATGGGAGTGCATTCAGAGAATATGATTTCTTACAATACAAAATTTAAATCTAATAAATTCCAAGCATTTGATTTCATTTTGTTAGTATAAAACTATAATTTCAAAAAATAATGCAAAATTATTTACTTAAGTCTCTTGTATCATCTACTGTAGGAACTCCAATTAGTTCTCGTGTTCTTTGAGGATGGCTTGAAAGAAATGCTGATGGAGGAGGAAGTTGAGGTGCTGGTCCCCGTGGACCTGATGCTCGAATTGGTGGAGGACCTGTCGGAGTCCAAAAAGGTGGCGGTAAACGAGGTGTGCGATCCATTCCTGGAGCTTCTGGATTATAAGGTTCGGGAATATATGGTTCTGAAAGAAAAATTTTAATACAAAATATTTTAAGAGCTTATAATAATAGTAAATTCTTTGTAATATTAATATAAACAGTTCAATAAATTTTCAAATAAATCTTACATTACTTTCATGTCAATGTCACAAAATTAACTTGTTATACAAACATTATTCCTAGATTAAGTTATAAGTTTTTTGACAGTATATTAACAAATAAATTTCTATATACAGGTAACCCCCGTATAACACGGCACTTCTATAGCACGGATTCGCTCTAACACAGTTCGAGAATTGGGAACATCCCCCGTATTACACGGTGGTTTTATAGCACGGGTTCACTCTAACATGGTTCGAAAATTGGGTAAAACCCTCGTACAACATGAAATGTAATAAAGGGTGCGTTCTTTTATACTTCCGCGTAACTCCACACAAGCATCCTAATTGTTTTCCTGGCTACTTTGAATGCTCTTTCAACAATAATCCATTTAATGGTTAAATTTTACAATTGGAACCCTTCTTTTGCCTCTAAAAGCTCATTTTAGAATTATAGATTCCTCCATCGTTCCTAAATGCCTACAAACAGCAGCGCACTCCCGTTGCAGAGTGATCGCTATTAATGAATGCACCCAAAAACTGTTACCAGCTGATGATGCTCATGCTGAGATCATCATATAGGATGAATAATCCTCTGGTAAAATATTTACATAAATAACAAATAAGTATTTTACCTACAAAAAAAATGAATAGTAAATCCGATTTAAATAAGGATTTAACAGCATGTTTTTAATTTTTGGAACCTAACACCCCTTTTCGCACAAGTTCTTTGTTTCGTTTAACACGGATTCGCATAACACGACAATTTTTTGAAATGTAACTCCCGTGTTATATGGGGGTTACCTGTATATATATAACAATAAGTTGCAGAATTTTAATATATCTCTTTTAGTTAAAGTTTCTAAACACACTTTTCCTTGCTAATGTGCACGTTAAATTAATGACTAAAAGAAAAGAATTTAACAACTGAACCAATACTCAGCAGAAAGAATAATTCATTAATAAACATCTTGGACTGCTGAGAAGCATTTATTTGCTACACACAAATGTTTTCAGCGTAATGTATAGGCCATCAGCAGGTGACTGATTTTTGAAACATTCATTATAAACTGTTCCATTTTGTATTCTATTTTATATTTTACTTTGTTTGTGTTAGTAACATTTATACTTTTATATATTTTATGTATTTTTTATATATACTTTTATGTATTTATATATATTTAGTAACATTTAGTAACATAGTAACATTTGTGTATAGCAATGCTTCTCAGCAACCCACGGTGTTTATTGATGAAAAGAGTTTAGTAAATTCAAATAACTAAAATTTACTACAACCCAGTTGTTTACTCTATTCTGTAATTTAAAATAAACTTTTGCTCAGCAACTAAGTATTTCAGAGATTTAATTATAACACAAAGTTTTATTTAATTTTTATTTTAAAATTTAAAAAATTAAGATTATTATATTTTAAATAGAATATAAAAAATTTAGGTGCTTAAATTTAATTCATTTTTATAATCAAACAATAAAATTAATTCTTACTGTACCAACAGATTCAGTAAATTTGATCTATATAAAATACAATTTATCATATTTATAAAAGAGAATCTTATTTAAATATTGTTTATAATATAATTCANAAATACAGTAAAAATTTTAACTAAAAAAATTTAATAAAAACACTTTAACACTTTAAATGAAAGTAATAGTTTTACTATTACTTTCATTTATTATCTTACAAAATTTAAGATAATACCCATTCACTCAAAAATACATTACCTCATTAAAAAGTGCAAACAAAAGTAAAATTAAATTAATTAACACACTTTACATAACTATTAATAATAAAAATACATATGTAAGTTTCATACACACCAGGCTGTGGTGGTGGTGGAGGTGGCAGAGGAGATCGTGTTGGTGGCTGTCCAATAATTGGAGTGATAACATGATGCATTGTATTTGTGTGTATATTATTACCTAAATAATAAAATTATTATTAAGTTTTCAAAATAAAATTATTTACAATAACATAATTATAGTTGTTACATAAATCGTACCTGATGGTTGCGAAACAGGTGGAGCAGTTGCTGTATTTGGTCCAAATCCCAAAACAGATACATCTTCAACTACTACTGGATCATTTCCATGATCATAAGGGCAAAGATCACCTCTCATACAATACCCCATTTCTATAAATTTGTGTAAAAAATCAAGTATTATTATTTTAATAAATTCTAATCTAACGAAATAATTGAATATAATAATAATAAAGTGTTTCTCATAATTATCAAAAATTTTAATTAAAGTACAAAAAAATATTCATTTTTCTATTTATTAACAAACAATTTTAGTTAGATACATAGATCTTAACAATATTTTGTCATTTAAGATCTGGAATAAATATCTTATTATCCAATCTCTTTCTGTGTTATTTAAGAATAACTCTACAGAGTATTAATAAAAATCAAAATGAGAATGAATTCCTTATTAAAAATATCTTTAGTAACCAAAAATTATTACAAAGTATCAACAACATATTAAGATATCAACAAGAAAATTAAAATGTAATCAGTCTGCAGAGAGATTTTGGGGGGCAAAAAAATTTTCTGCAAGATGAGAATAAATAGAGAAAAACTTACTAAAATATGGTAAATAATTTTGACTTTATAAGTGATTAGGAAAAACTTGTAAATGATGTCTAAAAAACATCGACAAGAAAACAATTAAAAATTTATATTTCCTCAAAAAATGCTTTGTTAATGAACAACAGAAGTCAATTCTAAATAAAAATAATGTTCAGAAAATTAGAAATAACAAATTCTCTCTCTTGCACAATGTTTTATCATATAAAAATTCATTATTTGATGCAGAATAAACAGAATACATCATCATAATACCTAAACCAAAAATAAAATATACTTATGCAGTCATTTAAATAGAAAACAACAAGAAAGAATAAAAATCATTAACATTGGAAAAATTATTCTTGAGAAAAAGAAATAATAACAGTAGAAACATTAGCAAAAAAAGATAATTATAAAAAATATATGGGCATTAATAAAATACAAAATCTTATATATTTTAAAATTATAATGTAAGACTGCTCATGTACTTAAGTATTTTATTTAGGACATGAATAATTTTGTCTAATAGTCAAATTTAGCCTTCAACATATAGTCTGGAATAAATCTTTGAATATTCAATTAAATTCACATATTTTAGATAGCAACATTTATAAATTTATGTTATTAAATAACTAGATTAAAAAGAAATAAATAATAATAAGGATAAAATATATATATATATAAATGAAATTTACCATCATAATCGCGACATCGTTTAGCTGTTTTCCCTACAAACTGATTAGTTTCACTAGATGTAGACTGTGTAGTAGCTAGAGTGGTTACAACCTCTGTTGTAGTAACTAATGAAACAGAAGGAACTGAAGAAACAGGAGGAATAGGTGCAACAGCCGAAGCAGCAGGAACAGCAGGTACAGTTGAATGTGCTCCTAAACGATAATCTGTATCACCATGATCTACAGTCAGTTGAGTTGTATCTCCACGTGAACGAGTTTCATGAGCTTCATTACGATTCCTATCTATATTTTTACAAAATAAACAAATATTTACTAAAATTTTTATTTTATTGATGAGCGTAAACTTATTTATAAAAACATCAAATAGTAATTTTTCATAAGCAACTAATTTTCAAATAATAATTGTAGTCAAGCCATTTGTATATCATTTACTTTTCAGTATATTTGTTTATAAATTAACCTGCTTAGTTTAAGAGATTTTTAAAATTAATGGCACTCGCTGACAGGCTCCAAAATCAGGAATTTTACACTGCTCAGATTTCTCAATTGTGACAAATTATATCATGTATGTGACAAAAATAATTTTTATAAGTAAAGAATGAAGTAGCAATGTTTAAAACTAACTAAATACTCATTAATCATCATGATAAAATCTTTTCTCAAATAATACTTTATAATTGGTAAAGGAATGATTGCAAGTACATTCTTTGCATTTTCATAAGCTTATCTATTAAATTCTTAAATGGTTTTATGATTCAATTTAATTATAAAATAAGTTCAACTAAGTATGTGTGTGATTTGAATAAAATCTTTTTTTAAAAATTTATAATTATTTTCTTGATACCACACTTTGTAAAATAAAAGTAAAGAATTAAAATACTGAAATGTTTTGTGCATAACATTTGTATCATTTGTGTATGACAATGTAAACTAAAAACTCAAAATACAAATTTCAGAATTTATTTTCTAAATCAGATAATTAAAAATTCAAAATGTAAGTTTATAATCTCATTTTTCACAAATTCAATTTTTTCTCCAAACTTCTTTTATGATATATTTCATTTTATATAAATAATGTATTTACTTAAGCTTGTTGTTGTTATAATAAAATTATTAATTAGTTTTGTATAAAATTTATTCTTTCCAACAGTTCCAGAATAAAATAAAACTGCATCTCTGAATCATCAAAAAAGTAACAAACAAATTATGTAAAGGATTGAAGCAATAATTTAGGAACTAAAATTTAAACTGCAAAAAATCAGAGAAAAATATAAAATAATATTTAAATACCAAAGATAAACATTTATATAAATTATATCATCTAAAATCAAAATGTATACTGTATATAAAAAAAGTGCACAGATAATTTTTTTTTTTATAAATTATTAAAATTAATTAGTCCAATTATCATATAAACATATCCCATTAAGAATAATGTCCTATTATGTAAGAAAAAGTAATAAGAGTAATATCTTACATGGACTTAGAATGCTAGATCAATTTCATGTTAATTAATATCAAAGTTAATCTTACAGTAATAATTTCATAGCATACCTCTTGACCTATCTCGAGATCTTGACCAAGACCTAGACCTAGATCTAGATCGTGAATGGGAACGTGAAGGCGATCGTGACCAAGTACCTGATCGAGATCGTGATCTATTTCTACTCCAACTTCCACTTCTTGACCTGCTTCTATCTCTTTCATTAGGAACTGTTCTATCTCTACCAGTTCTCTCTCTTGCTGACCGCGATTCACGATCTCGTTCTCTTTCACGTTCTCTACTTCTATCTCGATCAGTATTATCCTGCAGACGTCTATCTCTGAAATCTCTGTAACGGTTCTCAAAACGACGCACTGATACTCTCCTTCTTCTATCATCTTCTGCAAATCGTCTACCTCTTCTATCATCATTTTCTCTGTAAATAAACAATTTAGAGAAATATATTTTAGTATGTTTTAACAAATTTTCTTGTAACATTTAAAAACTATCAATGGTCAATAAAAATACACATGTTCAATGTTATGTATTAAACTGTTTAAATATTTAGATATACATTTTATATGTAATAAAAATTTCTGGTGAATAAATTTAGTATATATTTACACTATATTCTTAGAGTTTAGATGAATTTTTGATCACAATTTCACTTTTAAAATATTAACTGAATATAATTCCATCTTCAATTTTATCTTTTTAGTAAACGTTAAAAAAAAATTTTTCGGTTTAACATTACAATGCCCAGAGGGGACAAACTGTCCCCAGAAAAGTTTTCATTAGCTGATACTTTATTAATTTTTATTAGGGCAGTAAATGCTTTTGTGACATTTCACCTTTTTATGTTAACTATTTATTATCAAAAATATAATTTTATTTTCATATTTTATTTATATAAAATATTACATATCCCCTTAAATGCCCAATGGGAACAGTTTGTCCCCTTTATAAAAGTGTGTAAATATCAAGGAAATAACATTTCTAAAAAGTGTAGTTGTGTGTTGTTTTCCATTATCAGTTTTTGCTTATTTGTGTGTATTATTTCTTGAAAAGTAATTGAATTTCAATTCTGCAACTATTTGTTTCCAGCTATTGTTCTCCTTTTAATTTTCTTACTTTTATTTATATAGATAATGCTTCAAAAAACGTCCAAGTTTCAGTCACATTTTTTGTTTTGTTGCTTTTGTTTCATTCTTTTATCTTCTTTTGTATGTACAATTTTTTAGATACGGTGAGATTTAATTCTGCTACCAGTTGCTTAAATGTTCAGTATGAATTTAGTTCATCTTACAAGTGAAGAAATTATCAAATTACAGAGTATTCTTGACAATGAATTAGATGATGAAGAAAGTGGTGATGATTACTTTTATATGCTTGAACATCTGATAAATGACTCTGGGAGTGTTGAAAATTCCAATGACTTAGATAATGATGCTGACATAACTAATACAAACAGTCCTTCCTGGTCAAGAAGTAAACTTCGTGAATACAAATATAGTTGATGTCAGAATCATGATATATCTCTCAGAATCACGAAACATTCAAGACACCAGATTTTCTGTGTTACAAATCCTGATACAGTAGACAATGATGAAGTTTATAATGATCAGTATATTGCATCAGACAACTATTTGCTACATAATAGTGACCATTAAGAAAAAAAGAAAAAATGTCTTTGTTCTTTATCCTGCAAATCCTACTGTAACCAGTGAAAACAAACCACTGGAAACTGTATTATATCACAATAACACAAAATATATTGCTGACACTGTAAATGAAATAGCCAGGCAATATTCTATCAAGACATCGTCTATATAATTGCCTGTGCATTCTTTATAATGTGCTAGATTTAGCTGCAATCAATGTATATGTTTTATGCAAAAATGTGTCAATAAACAAAATTGCTTGAAGAGAATTTATACAGAAGTTCTCTGAAGTAGCAGGAGAGAAATTTATTTGCCTTTCACAATTTAGTGAAGATAAAAACAATGTTCTGGAACAAAAACAGACATGAATGCAAAATGTTAAAAAATTGAACAAACAACATACATGCTGTGTGATAAATACCTTGCATGCTATTCATAAGCAAGTAAAACTCATCATTATTGTTTAAATTGTATGAAAAATAAATAAAATTTGTATTGAATTATTTTTATAAATACATTATAAAATAAGAGATGATCCAAAACTTCAAGTTATAATAAAATAAAGTGTGGAAACTAGACCTGACAACAGAGAACAAATTGTCTTCTTTAAGCATTCTATGGCAGAAGAAAGTTTAGGAATTCTAGAGTTAAGTCAATTTTTATTACTTAAGTGACAAAATAATACAAGAAAAATATATTCAAACATTATAAATATTAATCAAAATTAAGTAATGTTTTCTCTGCCACAATAAGAAAAGCCGGCATTTACATTGATTTTTCAAAAGAAAAGTAGTTTTACACTGATAGATAAAGAGTAAAATTTATATAAACAGAGCAAGTCAAAATGAATGTAAATTGATGACTGAAAAAGCTGTAATTGATTCAACATAAATCTATATCAATGATGAAAAAGTATTACTCAACAAACTCATAAAATAATCATAAAAATCACATCAGCATTATCGTATCCATCTATTTCCTCTACATGAATATTTACTAACCTACTACGACTTCTTGTCCTAATTCCTCCACGTCCAACTGGGCTTCTACTACCAGAACGACTTCTGCTTCTTGATCTGTGTCTTCTTTCACGACCTTCTGGTTCACTGCAGAACTACAAAAATTAAAAATTTATTAAACATATCTACTATTAAATTAAATTGTAAAAAAATTTTTTTAATTAAATAAAATTAAGCTATTTCAAATAAGATGCATTTTTAAAATTTAATATATGTATTTAAATAATTTATATTCCACTAATTTACATAAAAAAAAATTATTTATTTACTAACAATTGAAAATAAAATAATTTAATGATTAGATTGATTTGATATTAAAAATAAATATATTACCAACATTTGTTAACATTTACTTTAGCATTAATATCTGTAAATATTCTTCGATGTAGTCTGTTTGCTATAACTTTGAACATTAAACAAAGATGTAAAGTAACCACCTCATTACTATACTCTACCACCTCTGTATCTTTCCACATTACCTGTCTCATTGTAGAAGCAATAGCAGTGTCATAATAAAAATGTTTACAACTGTTAATTATCATAAACTTAGTTCCAGAGACAGTTTTTAGCAAAGGATACTGTTTTTGCAAACTATTTCTTGCAGAAGCATGCACAAAGTTATAGTAAACAGACTATATATTCCTAAATTAAAAATCTTAATAATTTCTTAGAAACATTCTTATTAATTTCACAAAAATAAAAACGGCAGATTATTGTTATAGATCTTAATTATAACTTAATCAAAAGTTACATTATATATGTAAATTTCTCTCACCCCTTCTTTGGTTTTCTTTACATCACTTTTAAATGTAGCTGAAGTAGTGACTGAAGTAACAGTTGTACTATTCTGTGACAAACGATTTCCCGAACTTCTTCCACTGCTTGTGGCTGCATTGCCATTAATGGTTGAACTATTGGCATTAGAAGCTGAAGAATTATTGGTTGTAGCATCTAATGATGACATAACTAAATTATTAGAAATTGGTCCACTATTTGTTGCATTAAGCCTGAGATAAGATTTGTTATTTAAGGTTTCAAATAATAAATCAACAAATGGTTTTGTCTCTGAAAAAAAAAAAAAAATATATATATATATATACATA